AAATAATGAATGCACAGAAGGCACGCGTTGCATGTATGGCAAATAAGTTTAAAAACATAAGAGAAATAGGTGAAGATACATATCAAATGATGCTCAAAAGATAGATTTATAGATGTGAAACATGTTTACAAGAGGCATTCTTTTTAGATAATGCTAAATACTAGTATTTGGTTTTCATTTATGATTTTATGTATAAATGCATGAATGTTAATCGTTTTCATTTCATTGAAGGTGATACTGATTCATCTTATTGGGCAATCGCTGGTGATCCAAATCTTCCTAACACTCAAGCATTTCAGGCGATTGTAACCGATAAACAATTTTATGATAAAAACATTTACAAATTCGCACCTTTTGATTTCTTCTGTTTTGATGAGAAATTTAAACCTAAATTAAAGAATAAAGCTGAAGAAAAAGCACATGAGAAGAAGTTATTGGGTTTAGCAATTGAGAAACAAGGTGATAACATGGTTGCTTTATGCCCCAAGTGTTATACATCATCTCAACGGTTCAATTGATGAAAGTGATTTTAAAAGATTGCACAAAAATGAAAGGTTTAGTTTAAGACAAAATAAGCAATTAACACCAAAAAATATTTGGATATAATAAATATGAAAGTGATATTTGATGGTCAGAATATTAATTTACAACTTAAAAACAGGTCTATGACTCGCTTAACAATTGGTAAGACTGCATTAACAGGAGCACACACTAAGGCTGTATGTTGTGAAAATGGATGTTGTATGCCGTTTATTTAATCCTGAGCCACAGAAGAGACAAAAGGAACCGTTGAATGATGGTTTTGATTCTTGATCAAAGAGGTGGGCACCCTTGAAACATTGATTTTATTTTTATATAAATGAATAGTGTAGATTTAAAAATTTTAATTGATGATTTAGTACTTAATCAAAAATTTCTTAATTATTATGAATTAAAATCATATCTCCAAAAATATGATAACAATATAACGGGTGATGATATGGAATATTATTATCCATATTATAAAAATGAAATTTTGAAATATCATAATAGAATAATTTCTGAAATTAAAGACAAAATTAAAAATAATGAATATACAAAGGGAAAAACTAAATCACAACTTAAACAATTGAAAGATTTCAAAAATAAAGTATTAACAGAAGAAGATATTGATGAATTATATAAATTATATAATCATGAGCCGCAAAAACAAAAGATGCAAAACACCCAGGTCCTTCAGACCATAAATGAAGCACAAGCTTTAATTTATGATTCATTAGTTAAACCATATTCAGCCCGACTTTAAATGAAGATCAACTTTTGGAATTCATCCTTCAACATAAACTCGAAGCGGGAAAGTATATCAAACCTTTATATACAGCATATTTAAAACAAATGAATAGAATACATCCAGAATTAATGAAGGAAGGAATGAATTCCAAAATCAAAGCAGATAAAATTAAACCACCTGCAACACCAAAACCTCCAACGACAGTACCGCCTCCTCCTTCAGTTAATCCTTCATCATTCACTTTATTATATCCATTTCAAACATTAAAGAAGCAAAAAGATTTTAAAAAGGATTTCAAGATATTAAATAAACCAATTGACCCAAAAATTCAACCGTTAAAGGAAAAATTTAGTCGCCCTTCATTTGCACCATATCCATATTCATACGAAATCGATCATCTGGAATATTCAAAAGGAAAAGTTACTTATTTATTTGCCATTAACATTAACACTAGATATTTATATTGCATTCCAGTGAAAGGGAAAACAGAACAGGAAACAAGAAGAGCTATTCAATACTTACTAGATCATGAAAGAGTAGATAATATAAGGGTGATGGTGATAAAGGATTTCAGGCAGCTATGACTCATTATTTCCCACAAATTAATTTTTTCTTTTCATCCTCTCCATATACGTTTCATAATAAAATAGTTGATGCGGTAATGAGAACTCTTAGAGATGCGTTAGGGTTAACGGTCAGATATACTGGGATGGAAATCATGACTCCATCATACAACAGTTAGTATATTATTACAATAATACATGGCATAGAACTATAAACATGAAACCAGTGGAAATGAAAAATGATATTTCAAAAGAATGGGAATATATTAGAAAGCAAATGGAAAGGTTGAATGATGTTAAACGTGAACAAATTAATTCGGGGCTCATGAATTTTAAACAAGGGGATAAAGTTTTGATTCATCTCGATTATGGAAAAACTGATAAATCAATGACAAAAAGAAGACGAAGATTTGACACAATAGCTGAATTTGTTAGATATATTAACGGTAATGTATTAGTTGAGGTTAACAATAAATTAATAGAAATTCCGATTTATTTTATTACTCCATTATATTTAAATAACATTTAATTTTTTTATTTCGTAAGAAATGAGTGACAACAAAGCAGTCAAGAGTCCAGACGATGAATATAAAAAGAAACTAAACAGAATTAAATCAAAAATATGCTATTACAAAAAGAAGCCGCAATGTGGTGAGGTTGAAAACGATGAAGAGAGGAAAGAAATAATCGAAAAATTAGAAACTTATCGTTCAATCATTAAACTGAGTGAAGCAAAATAAAAGAATTTAATAGAATAAATAAATTGATTGGAAGAGATGAATTTAATAAAGATGAATTTTTAAACTCAATCCAAATTTAATTTTTATTTCTCTTTGACAACATCTCTCTTTCCATCATTACTGCATAACCACATTTTCTCAGTTTTAGTGGTTTGTTATTTTTAGCAAGTTCTCGCATCATTTTTATCGTTTCCTCCCTTGTTATGATTCGTGGTAAATTTTGAGCTTGTGGGGTATCCATTTATGATAAAAATAAAAATTTGTTATCAGTTATTTTATCGTTAATGGTTTCAGGTTATTCAATAATGAATTATTTTTGAAGAACTGATAGGGTCACCAGGTCACCAGGTCACCAGGTAATTTAACTTTTCTGAAAAAATGTGACAACATGACATTTTGACAACAACATAGGAGGATAGCAATAATGAATTATTTTTGAAGAACTGATAGGGTCACCAGGTCACCAGGTCACCAGGTAATTTAACTTTTCTGAAAAAATGTGACAACATGACATTTTGACAACAACATAGGAGGATAGCAATAATGAATTATTTTTGAAGAACTGATAGGGTCACCAGGTTACCAGGTCACCAGGTAATTTAACTTTTCTGAAAAAATGTGACAACATGACATTTTGACAACAACATAGGAGGATAGCAATAATGAATTATTTTTGAAGAACTGATAGGGTCACCAGGTCACCAGGTCACTAGGTAATTTAACTTTTCTGAAAAAATGTGACAACATGACATTTTGACAACAACATAGGAGGATAGCAATAATGATTTCATCGTAATGAGTGTAAATGACCCAAAATAAAGTTTATGTTAGCATGTTAGATCTAACCTCATTTCTAACCTCATTTCTAACCTCTTGCGATTTTCATACGGAATCTCTTCTCTCGGTTTTCCGAGGGAAGCAATCATATGAGGAAATTCTTCTAAAAGTTCTTTTGTCTGTTGGTTTTCAAACCAATGATATACTTGCTTTGTAGAACGAAGAGCATTCATTATACTTTGCATTTGGTACATGTCATCTTTGACCGAACGAATGAGGCGAAGTTGTTTGTTATACTGTATGTACTCGTATTCTTCATTAATGGCTTCATGAACGATAGCGGTTGTTGTGTTCTCTGATGTTGACATTACTGTCTTTACATACAAAATAAATAAAACTAACTTTATTTTCTGACTTTCACAAAAGACAAAAATAAACGCTTTACATGTATTTTTCAGCAACTTCGTCAAATAATTTTATAGCTTTATCTATCTCATCTACTTCAAACGTTTCTTTACCTTTCGTGGGAGCACCATACATTTTCTCAAAAACTTCAAGCAGTTCTGTTTCAGCAGCTCTCATATCATTAACAAACACAACCTTGACTCTATTGACTGTACTGTCATATCTTTGAGTTATATTATATGTTCTTCCTATCTTATATCTTTTTGTGTTGAAGTCCTTCGGTTTCTGAACGATGTAAAGTAAGCCTTCACTGCAACGTTCCGTATCGAATGAACCATATGTTATGAAGTTATATCCAACAACTGGGTCTAACCATAAAAACTATTGGTATAAGACTTTTGTCTATAAGATATGCTCTTGTTCCATGAAATGCTACTGATATCATGAGCTCAGGATTTCTTGTCAAAATTTTCTGAGTTGAAGCATTTCTAACCCAGTCGTTTGTTTTCTTTTCAGATGGAGATATAATGTCTGACAAAGAATATTTGTTGTATTTCTTTGAGTATCTTACGTTTAAATCACCTATTCTAACCACTTTGGTGTCATCGTCTATCTTTCTAACTGTTTCAAACTCAATGTTTGTCATTACTGTCTTTACATACAAGATAAAAAAGATATAAAAATAAAATTAGCGTTATATTTCTAACTAATGAAATTCATTATTTTTGAAGAACTGATAGGGTCACCAGGTCACCAGGTCACCAGGTAATTTAACTTTTCTGAAAAATGTGACAACATGACATTTTGACAACAACATAGGAGGATAGCAATAATGAATTATTTTTGAAGAACTGATAGGGTCACCAGGTCACCAGGTCACCAGGTAATTTAACTTTTCTGAAAAAATGTGACAACATGACATTTTGACAACAACATAGGAGGATAGCAATAATGAATTATTTTTGAAGAACTGATAGGGTCACCAGGTCACCAGGTCACTAGGTAATTTAACTTTTCTGAAAAAATGTGACAACATGACATTTTGACAACAACATAGGAGGATAGCAATAATGAATTATTTTTGAAGAACTGATAGGGTCACCAGGTCACCAGGTCACCAGGTAATTTAACTTTTCTGAAAAAATGTGACAACATGACATTTTGACAACAACATAGGAGGATAGCAAAAATAAATTCAAATCATACTTTATAAAGCATCATTTACAGGTATTTTATCGTCAGTACATGAATCATCATTATCGTTTGGTTCAACTTGTTTATATAATCCTTTCATTTCTTCTTTCAAAACATAATACCATGTCTGTTTACCATCTATTTTTCTTTGTTTCCTATCACATTTATCCTTAATACTCATTTGGAAATTCTTGTCTTTCATGTCTGATGGTTTGCAGAATAGAGCATTTTTACACGTCATACCTACACACAATTCATCATAATGTGTATTTATCCATACATCTAAAGGATTTGTTGATAATTCAATTAAATCTTGTTTGGCTTCAGTCATCGGAATGATTCGTACATTAAATGATGAAAGGTCATATTGCATAAAATACGTCAGTAAATTATCATAAAATTCCTTTGTGCATGAATTCATCAAATTCTTGAAATAATCAAATTGACCCTTAAATTTACCATTAACTCTTAAAACTACATATCTTCTGTCTCCAACTTCAATTTTGACAGGGTAAACGTTATTAGTTACGAAAATGAAATTGGCAACGTTTTGTGCTGTTCTTCTGGGTTGATTCTTTTCATTAATTCTTATCTCATTATCCGTTATAATTGATTTCAAAGCGTTGAAGTTTGCGAGTCTGTCTTCACCAACATTCTTGAGTTCATTAAGTACAAGAAACATTTTATTCTCAACTACTGAATTGAAATTACCCGTTAGCTCACTTATTTCAGTAATGTTTTTACATGAATAACCAGCGAGAAGTTCAGAAATAATGTCTGTGAATCTGTTTTTACCTGTTCCCTGAAGTCCTTTCAAAATAATTGCTGTTTCATTCTTGATTCCAGGATGTTGAATCATTGATGCAATCCAGCCGAGAAGGTATTTATACACTTCATCGTTATTATCACAAATGGCTTCTTTAATGAAATTCATAAACATCTCAATTTTTGAGTAATCAGGTTTTTCAAGAATGTTGTATTTATAACCCTGAAACGTTGAGAAAACATCGGGGAATCAGATTTAAAGCAAACACCCTTAACGGTTAATGAAGATAATTGATTTAATAGTACATCCCATGCTGTTATTGTTTTACCTTCTTCTTTAAATAATTTAATCATTTTAAGTGACTCTTTCATGTTTGATTGAAGAACGAATGATATTTGATTCATTTTGTCGTGGATATTATAGTCCTTTTGAATGAAATATTTATTTCCACAATCTACAAAACGGATTACACGTGATAAATCCTCAATTACTTCAGAACTGTTTTTATACTGATGATTTTCAGCCTTGCGTCTAATATCTGTTATCAAAAACGAGTCATCAAGTTTTATATCAAATGTTATTTTTGGCTTACGTAATAAAGGCAAAACATATTCATCATAATATTCCTTTTGATATAGTTTTAGAATCTTCACCAAAACAAATGGAGAAGTCATTAAATATGCATATCTACTACGTGCTTTTTCAAAATTACTTTTTGCATTTTCTGTTAAATTGCAGAAGTTATAAACGTTATCGTATGCTTCATTAATTAAATGATTAGGTAACGAATTAATAGCTTGAAACAGTGTGAATAATGTAACTTCTTTTTCTAAATTCATGTTTCCACCGTCATTATGTACTTCAAAATCACAGATGCCATCAACTATGCTCTGAGCTAGTTTATCGTCAATGTTTACATCTTTGTTTTCATTCATTATACTCTTTATTTCTTCGTTCTTCTGTTCAACTCTTACCTTAATATTCAAATCATTTAATATATCATTCACTGTTCTGGTTAATGTTGAGTCATAACTTCCACGAATGAATGAGTATGTATTGATTGGTTCTGTTGCATTCTTGCGAACTCTTGAATCAGCCATAACTACTAAAGAACGCTTTGAATCATCAATAGAAGTCATTATGTCAATATCATAATCATTGCAGGAATAACATTTAATCATTCTGTTCGAGGTTGAATAGAAGAAATTAGTGTTGCAATAAATGTGAAGACCTCCTGAAGCGGTTTTAACGATAACATCTTTATCCGAAAGTTTTGATAAAATGTCTTTTCTAACTGTTTCTTTAAGTTCATCATTGTACGATTTATTGATATCAACATCTATAATCGTTAAATTCGAAATTTTATTTACTAATAAAGCCATACCAGTTTTCCTTCCTCTTCCTCCATCATATTTGAGGTAGTTATGTAAATCAATCTTGTTTTCACCAATTCTTTCGTTGAGGGTTTTAGTTTCTGCCATAACTAATTCCTCAGCTAATTCCTCAACTAATTCCTCAACTAATGAATCAACTTTTTCATCAGAAACGATATAGTTGCTGTTGTTGTTTGTTGCTGTCATTTATATAGGAATAAAAAAATAAAAATAATTTTAAAACTAACTTTATTTTTGGGCTACATCAAATTTCATTCCTGTTGTCAAAATGTCATGTTGTCACATTTTTTCAGAAAAGTTAAATTACCTGGTGACCTGGTGACCTGGTGACCCTATCAGTTCTTCAAAAATAATTCATTATTGCTATCCTCCTATGTTGTTGTCAAAATGTCATGTTGTCACATTTTTTCAGAAAAGTTAAATTACCTGGTGACCTGGTGACCTGGTGACCCTATCAGTTCTTCAAAAATAATTCATTATTGCTATCCTCCTATGTTGTTGTCAAAATGTCATGTTGTCACATTTTTTCAGAAAAGTTAAATTACCTGGTGACCTGGTGACCCTATCAGTTCTTCAAAAATAATTCATTATTGCTATCCTCCTATGTTGTTGTCAAATGTCATGTTGTCACATTTTTTCAGAAAAGTTAAATTACCTGGTGACCTGGTGACCTGGTGACCCTATCAGTTCTTCAAAAATAATTCATTATTGCTATCCTCCTATGTTGTTGTCAAAATGTCATGTTGTCACATTTTTTCAGAAAAGTTAAATTACCTGGTGACCTGGTGACCTGGTGACCCTATCAGTTCTTCAAAAATAATTCATTATTGCTATCCTCCTATGTTGTTGTCAAAATGTCATGTTGTCACATTTTTTCAGAAAAGTTAAATTACCTGGTGACCTGGTGACCCTATCAGTTCTTCAAAAATAATTCATTATTGCTATCCTCCTATGTTGTTGTCAAAATGTCATGTTGTCACATTTTTTCAGAAAAGTTAAATTACCTGGTGACCTGGTGACCTGGTGACCCTATCAGTTCTTCAAAAATAATTCATTATTGCTATCCTCCTATGTTGTTGTCAAAATGTCATGTTGTCACATTTTTTCAGAAAAGTTAAATTACCTGGTGACCTGGTGACCCTATCAGTTCTTCAAAAATAATTCATTATTGCTATCCTCCTATGTTGTTGTCAAAATGTCATGTTGTCACATTTTTTCAGAAAAGTTAAATTACCTGGTGACCTGGTGACCTGGTGACCCTATCAGTTCTTCAAAAATAATTCATTATTGCTATCCTCCTATGTTGTTGTCAAAATGTCATGTTGTCACATTTTTTCAGAAAAGTTAAATTACCTAGTGACCTGGTGACCTGGTGACCCTATCAGTTCTTCAAAAATAATTCATTATTGCTATCCTCCTATGTTGTTGTCAAAATGTCATGTTGTCACATTTTTTCAGAAAAGTTAAATTACCTGGTGACCTGGTGACCTGGTGACCCTATCAGTTCTTCAAAAATAATTCATTATTGCTATCCTCCTATGTTGTTGTCAAAATGTCATGTTGTCACATTTTTTCAGAAAAGTTAAATTACCTGGTGACCTGGTGACCTGGTGACCCTATCAGTTCTTCAAAAATAATTCATTATTGCTATCCTCCTATGTTGTTGTCAAAATGTCATGTTGTCACATTTTTTCAGAAAAGTTAAATTACCTGGTGACCTGGTGACCTGGTGACCCTATCAGTTCTTCAAAAATAATTCATTATTGCTATCCTCCTATGTTGTTGTCAAAATGTCATGTTGTCACATTTTTTCAGAAAAGTTAAATTACCTGGTGACCTGGTGACCTGGTGACCCTATCAGTTCTTCAAAAATAATTCATTATTGCTATCCTCCTATGTTGTTGTCAAAATGTCATGTTGTCACATTTTTTCAGAAAAGTTAAATTACCTGGTGACCTGGTGACCTGGTGACCCTATCAGTTCTTCAAAAATAATTCATTATTGCTATCCTCCTATGTTGTTGTCAAAATGTCATGTTGTCACATTTTTTCAGAAAAGTTAAATTACCTGGTGACCTGGTGACCTGGTGACCCTATCAGTTCTTCAAAAATAATTCATTATTGCTATCCTCCTATGTTGTTGTCAAAATGTCATGTTGTCACATTTTTTCAGAAAAGTTAAATTACCTGGTGACCTGGTGACCTGGTGACCCTATCAGTTCTTCAAAAATAATTCATTATTGCTATCCTCCTATGTTGTTGTCAAAATGTCATGTTGTCACATTTTTTCAGAAAAGTTAAATTACCTGGTGACCTGGTGACCTGGTGACCCTATCAGTTCTTCAAAAATAATTCATTATTGCTATCCTCCTATGTTGTTGTCAAAATGTCATGTTGTCACATTTTTTCAGAAAAGTTAAATTACCTGGTGACCTGGTGACCCTATCAGTTCTTCAAAAATAATTCATTATTGCTATCCTCCTATGTTGTTGTCAAAATGTCATGTTGTCACATTTTTTCAGAAAAGTTAAATTACCTGGTGACCTGGTGACCTGGTGACCCTATCAGTTCTTCAAAAATAATTCATTATTGCTATCCTCCTATGTTGTTGTCAAAATGTCATGTTGTCACATTTTTTCAGAAAAGTTAAATTACCTGGTGACCTGGTGACCTGGTGACCCTATCAGTTCTTCAAAAATAATTCATTATTGCTATCCTCCTATGTTGTTGTCAAAATGTCATGTTGTCACATTTTTTCAGAAAAGTTAAATTACCTGGTGACCTGGTGACCTGGTGACCCTATCAGTTCTTCAAAAATAATTCATTATTGCTATCCTCCTATGTTGTTGTCAAAATGTCATGTTGTCACATTTTTTCAGAAAAGTTAAATTACCTGGTGACCTGGTGACCTGGTGACCCTATCAGTTCTTCAAAAATAATTCATTATTGCTATCCTCCTATGTTGTTGTCAAAATGTCATGTTGTCACATTTTTTCAGAAAAGTTAAATTACCTGGTGACCTGGTGACCTGGTGACCCTATCAGTTCTTCAAAAATAATTCATTATTGCTATCCTCCTATGTTGTTGTCAAAATGTCATGTTGTCACATTTTTTCAGAAAAGTTAAATTACCTGGTGACCTGGTGACCTGGTGACCCTATCAGTTCTTCAAAAATAATTCATTATTGCTATCCTCCTATGTTGTTGTCAAAATGTCATGTTGTCACATTTTTTCAGAAAAGTTAAATTACCTGGTGACCTGGTGACCTGGTGACCCTATCAGTTCTTCAAAAATAATTCATTATTGCTATCCTCCTATGTTGTTGTCAAAATGTCATGTTGTCACATTTTTTCAGAAAAGTTAAATTACCTGGTGACCTGGTGACCTGGTGACCCTATCAGTTCTTCAAAAATAATTCATTATTGCTATCCTCCTATGTTGTTGTCAAAATGTCATGTTGTCACATTTTTTCAGAAAAGTTAAATTACCTGGTGACCTGGTGACCCTATCAGTTCTTCAAAAATAATTCATTATTGCTATCCTCCTATGTTGTTGTCAAAATGTCATGAGTTAAATGACCTGGTGACACATGGTAAAACGCTTGTGAAAAAAGAGGTGAAAAAAAAGGTGAGATCTCACCTCTTCACCTAAAAATTATTTTTGGTGTAAATTTATGATAAAAATAAATGATTCATTGAACTCTATACCATGCGTAAACTGTCATGTAAGGTGGCATGTAGTCTTTACTTTGTCCCGTTGTTTGTGTATATCCTGAAACGAAATGTGTATGGTTTCCTTCTCCCTGAGTGTCATTCCAGTAACAATTTATAGCAAACTTAACGTCATCTTTAACATCATATCCTTTACCTTTTGTCATTCCTGACCAATCCCAATATCTATGCTTATGCCAACCCGCTTGAGATGTGCTTAAATCTATGTAGTGACTGTGTGCAGGTAAATTTTCACCTGTAATCGTTTTACTTCCACCCATTTCCTTTGAAGAGTTTGCACAATACAAAAACATGTCGACTATTTGTTCCCATGCACCAACACCAAACATTACTTGAGGACCTCTTGCATCCATAGATGTATAAATAGAACCTACTGGGTTCATTAAATCAAACATATGAGATAATATAGGATTGTCTCTTTTGAACTTAAAATATAGTGCAACTATTTCAGGTTTCTTCTGGTTTGTGTCGGAATATTTTTTATAATATAATCTTATGTTTTCGGGGTAGGTAAAATCTTGACTATAAAATTTATTTTTGTCATCTGTATAATAATATACTATTCTCGTTTTTTCTATTGCATTATATCTTTTATATCTATAATAATCTAAATATAATGTTAACTTTTGTTCATTACATGTGGTGTTCTGACATCATCTCCATAGTCATAATAATATGGTACTGGAGCTGTGCGAGGCAATGTCATATCTGTCATTTCATAAACTCTTAAATATTTCTTTTGTTCGTCTCCATATAAGTTTAAGTAACAGTTGTTGTCTAATGGAACTTTAACTTGTGTACCATTATTCTTTATATAGCTTACATACATTTCATTGTTATTTTTCGGAATGAGTTTACACCGCATACCATTTTTTAAGGAGTGTACCAATTGCCATCTAAAATATTTATTTTCTTCATCGACAGAAAAGTCACCAACAATAGTTTCAATATTTTTAGTTGTTCCTATCAAACTTTGGTATATTTCGTTAACATATTCCTTATCTGCCTTCTTCTCTAACGCACTAGCCACATATTCCTTATCCGCCTTCTTCTCTAACTCATCGTTAACATATTCCTTATCCGCTTTAAGGTCTAAACATCCTGAAACCCATCCTGTATCAGCTTTAGTTTTTAAAATCTTTGATGTCCATTCATAATACCATTCAACCCTTTCTTTAATTTCATTATCTTTTTCATCCACATATTCCTTATCCGCCTTCTTCTCTAACGCACTAGCCATTAATCCCTTATCTACCTTCTTCTCTAACTCACTGTTGACATAAGTTTTATCCGCTTTACTGTCTATGTCATTTAGGAAACCTTTTATGAATTCCTCATTTAAATTAAATCTTCCAATCTTCAAAACTTTAGGAAATGCATTTAATGCGTAATATCTTTGTTCTTCTGGTGGAATTGATGTTATATCATCCGTTATTCCTTTAATTTTTGAATTCATAAATAAAATTTCTTTTATATTTGATATCACTGCACCACCTTTGCAAACGAATTCGAAATGTTCTTTTCAATATTATCTCCAAATCTCCATATTTCAACCTTTGCGTTTGTTCTGCCGTCTTTGAATTATATGCATATATGGCGTATGTAATGGTCTGAGGGACCTGGGTGCTTTGTGCCTTAAGTTGTTGTGGTTGCTGTGTTTAATCATTTATTATGATTTAAAAATATTTAATCTGTTATCTCATCAGCTATTTTTTCTATTTGAAATGCCATAATATTTCATTCATGAATTCTAAATCACAATCAAATAGGTCAGTTATTCTAAATTTAATATTTGATAAATCTTTTGAATGAAGAATAAATGAATTCCCGGATAATTGAAACGGATATGATAAAAAAAATGTGTTTAAGTTGATGGATAAAATGTTTTGTATTGATGGGTAAGAGTTAGGGTCTAATGTTTGATGTGAAAATCTCATTGGGGTATTAACTTTATCACATTTGAATAAAATGAAATTGGAACCAGTGTCAGAATACAAAACATCCCAACATCTTTTTCAAAATTTAATATCCCCAACAATGAACGAAAATGAGGAGTACAAAATTTAATTTTCAGCGGAAATTTAATAAGGTTATTTATTTCATCAAGTTCAAAAAGTTTATCAGGTTTTGATTTAAAATTTCTTCATACCATACGATAAATGATTCATTTAAATAACTTAAATCATGTTAATATCCCATTTCGCTATCACATTATTTATATACATATCATACGTTTTTTCAAGGTCATCTTTAATAAATGATATATAATCTGAAGGGTCTAAAAGAATGGGATTAAATTTACCACTCACAGAAACGAGAGTAACATTATAAATTCCACTAACTGTTAAATTTAATTCACAGTTATTATTTGAAATAATATTGATAATTGACATTTTTATTACGATTAAAAATATGGTAAAGCGTTATTTTCCAGTGATAAATAAAACTAGAATAAGATTACCTCAAGAATTCATAAATTCAACGAATAAGAAATTCATTCATGTTATAAATTTTAGTGTTTTCAGAAAATATGAGTCGATGTCATATTCATCATCAGGTTATATTTCACTTCATTCAAATTTAGTTCAATCAAACCCATATAATGACCATTTCATAAGATTTTCAGATGTATTAAAATGTAATTGATAGATTAAAATATGAACAGATTGACAATATCGAATTTTTGGAATTTTGGTTTAAATATCCTGATGGAAAAAAGATTGAAGTTAAAGATAAAGCTGATACTATAACAAAAACAATTACAATGACCGATCCGGATAGTGGGGAACAAAAAGAAATAAAACAAACGATAGAAACTGGTGAAAGGTCAATTATTATTGATTATGATTCAAAGGATTATTATTCGATAATGTTAATGCTTGAATATTAAATAGCCTTAACAAAGAATTTTTCAAGTGATATTTTATATTCATCAACTATTTTATTGTATATGTTATTATAAGTTAAATGAAGTTCAGTTGTTGTTCCGTTCTTTGATATCTTAATTGTGCTAATATCCTTTATAGGATTTATTTTTGCAACTGTTCCGCAGCATGAAACCTCATCATCTATGAAAAATTGAATCTTAACGTCTGAATCTTGAACATCACAAAGAATGGCGATAATGTGAATTAATGATTCATAAGGTAAAATAATTAAACCGGATTGGTCAATTAAATTTATTATTGAATCATAATTATTAATTATTATATCACGGTAAATTTTCATTAATTCAGAATTAATGTCTATTTTATATGGGTTCTCAATGTTTGATGAAAGAGGTGGGGGGTATGTTGGATAAGTGGGAATTTCAACAGGTTCTTTACCGGGTTCAGATAAATGATTGGGTCTCCATCTTCTTTATTTTGCTCCTCCTCTTTCTTTGGTAAGTCACGAGTTAATAAATTTGGTTGAGTTGCTGACCTTGTTAGTTCAGGGCTAACATTAACTTTAACATTTTGAATAATTCGTGATTTATCATCATTTACGTTATAACCAACCGTAATCTCTGCTTTTGCGTTAGTGTTCTTTTGACTAGTGAAACGTCTTCTCATTTATAATTGAATAAAAAAAAGAAAAATATATTTAAAGTTTTATTTAGTTGTTACGGTAATATCCCAAGGTTCATCCTTGTTTGCTTATACTTTCTTTGTAACTGCACCAATTATGTTATTGATAATGATTTGAGTTTCTCCCAGTCTTATTTTATCATTTACAATATCTTTAATCATTTCATTACATGCATTCTTAAAACCATCTGATTTTTCCAATTTACGTCTATCACTTTCTTTAATTAAATCAAAGTTATAACCTTGTTGAGAATAAATTGGTTTCTTTATCAATTCCTTGAACGCTTCTGAAAGTGAAGATGAAGAAATTCTTGCCACTTGAATTGGTTTAAATTCTGCTTTCATTGCTTCTTTCTGTTCATTGAACACTGGATCGAATAAAGCAACTTTAAAGAATTTCTTAGCTGGAATTTCATGTCTCAAATTTGCATATTGGCCATCAAACTGGTTAGAATATCGTGGTAATCCATCCGGTCCCTCTTCAATAGCATTTAATTCTTCATTGAAATAAGAATATGGATTATGACGGTATGAATTAATTGGACCATGTTCACCTTCTCCAATGTATTGTTTAACAGCTTTTCCATTTTCATCAAATTGCATAGGATAACGTTCATTATATGCTTTACGTTTAGGATAATCCGTCATTGTTAATTTATACCCATTTATGACTTTAATATTACCTTGACCATCAGTAACGAAAACTTCATTTATACCATCAGGTTTTCCATTTGGACCTGTAATGTCTGCTTCGTGTGCTTCCCAATTTGGACCATGACGTTTGGCATATGCTTGAGCTTCTGGTAATGTTAAAACGTTTCTCATTTGTTTAACATCCTTTTGAAGACCGGCAACAATATGAACTAATTCTTTCATTCCGTCTGGAACTTTCATAGTTCTATTATATGCACCCTTTTTGTTTGTCCCTTGTTTTAATGGAACCTGTAGAAGATTTGCTATTTCTGTCATGTTTAATTATAAATAAAAAATAAAAATTAATTATAAAAAGTTAATCAAATTTAACACTTCCTTTATTTAAATCAACTATTATTTTTCCATGTTCACCTAATTGCTGATATTGTGTGTAAAGTTCATTAATGCTCATTGGTAAATTCACTTGATAAAGCATAACGTTCAACTGTTGACGACTAAACCCACTGAAAATGAAAAGGGTGGACAGGTTTGATTTAATGTTTGTGCTTAATGCTTTAAAGTATTGAACAGCCATAAAGAATGAACATTGAATATGTCGACATTGAGTTAATAATTGATTAAAATATGATTTCTCATTAGTTATTAGTTTTGATTTCACGGCATCATCTAGAAAAATTAGTGAATGCAAAAATTCTCTATCAAAATTTGAAATAGAAAGTGTTTCAAATAATTCATCCCGTTGTTTATCAATAATTTTATCCTCTAATCCTTGCTTCTTGATTGTATTATATAATTCTTTATACATTAAAAAGTTTTTTAAATAATCTTCTGCTTCTTCTTGTGATAAATAAATAATTGGAATTTTGATTAAATGCTTTAAAGATTCAAATGTATCATCTGAAGGTGAACCTGAACGGTTGATATAAATTAACACATGTGAATGGGGTGAAGTGTTAGCAATAATGATAATTTGTTTTAATATCGTTAATGTTTTACCTTTATTTTGTTTACCAATTGCTGCAGTGATTGAATTTAAGTAACATTCAGAATATGGAATTTTCATTAATTTTTCCTTAGATAGAGCATTTCTATTATCACTCAATGCTTCATTAATCATATCATCTACGTATGTATTATATACTCCTGCTAATTCTTCATAAGGGGTGGATGAATTTAAATCCATTTAATCAAAAATAAATTTATAATTTTAAACATTTCTATTCATCAATATTTCATCATATGAACTTCTATACTGTGGTGGTGTACCTGTTGGATGATATTTCAAACCTTCATCCGGTGTCCATGTCCAATATGTAGTCCTAGTAAACCAAACCTGAGGAGGATTTGTCACCTTTGAACAGTAAGTGTCATTTTCACCCTGAATGATTGGATAAGCTTTCACTTGTACTGTAACTTGTGAGTTGAAAGTTTCTAATCCATCAAAGAATATACCCGCTCCATCACGTTGAACTGGAATAGTGCATAAGAATGAAGTTTGGTCTTTCCATGTTCTAGCTAATGGCGTGCCATTATCATCATTCAGTGGTCTAGTTAATGAGTCCTCGTATTCTTCCGTGCATTCATTCACTCCATCTAAATCAGAAGCTTGAAGCATACGTGTAAAGAATATGTCGCCCACTGTGGTCATCGCTTGATCGGGGAAGTTTCTGGAATCTATAGTGACCTGAAGACCTCGAAGCATTGGATTTTCTAAAACCGTTCTTTGCATTGCATTCTTCGGAAATGCTAACACAACATCTGTAACATTATGAAGAGCGTATGAGAAATCTGAGCTAATACCTTCAGGAGTGATGCAACCTCCATTTAGTGAACGAACGTCAATATGTTGAGCTGGAATCATGAATGGATCTTCCTTACTGAATAAACGTGGTATTGCTTTAACTGATTCTTCAATTAAACCGTATCCTGGTGTAATGCATTTATCCTCTAAAACTTCCATCTTTGTGCATGAAATAATAACGTCATCAACTGTTGCGTCAGCAGATGTAGCGGCTAAGCTTGTAATTAATTTGGCAGGAAGTCCGATTTGTTGGAATTTGCGATCATATTTATAAACATGATTCATAATCTTTTCATAATTTTCATCAGTTATCTTTTCATAAACGTAATTTTGTAAATCAGCAACTCTTAACGGGTCAACCTGACAAAATACTAAAGTATCCCTGAAAACATAATATTTAAGAATGATATCACCAAATGATTTAGGATAATCATTGAACGCCTGAAATGCTAACAAATCATTTACCGGAATAATCATATCAAAAGTGACATCAACTTCTTCATTTGCTTTCTTGAAAACTTCTGAAGGGTCAATATATTTTCCACATACCGAGTTATCATATTTTTGAACATTATTATATAACGAATGAACAAACTTTTTAACTTTCCTTTCTGATTTTGGTTTATATGTTGCAAATGCGAAAGATTCACGGGCGCAATCCATCTGAAGATAACCGACATCACCTCTTTCGGTTTCTACTTCTAATTGTTTAAAGCTTTGATTTGATGATTTGTAACCAACGAATAAACGCATGCATTTAAAAGCGGCATCACATGTGAAAGCTTTATTTGAAACTAGAGTTACTTTAACTTTGCGTTTAATATATGTGTCACCTAATTGGTTCACATCATGAGCTGGATTTGTAATTCTTAAATGAGTTTGTTTATCATCAAAATATGGAGCATCAGAGTCATAGCATGAACTTTCAAGTTCTCTATAATATCTTCTACCGTCATTCTTTGCGAATATTTCATTTATCTTTTCGAATGAATGAAACACATTTCCATTAATCGGTTTAGTGTTTGGCACCAAATAGTTAGTCGTCATTTATTATTAAATAAAAAATCAAAATTAAAAGATGAAAATGAATTTTTAATTTTAATGAAATAATCAGAAATGGCTGCAGGATTCTTTAAAAAATTATGGGATAAAGTAAAAAGAGGAGCGCATAAAGTTTGGGAAACAATGAAGAAAGGAGCAAATTGGATATTTAAGAATAAAGAAGCAATTAGTGACGTTGCTGAATCAATAACGCCAAAAGCTGCCCCAATAAGAGAAATTTTAAATAAAGGAGAAAAAGTTTATCAAAGACTACAACCGATACTAAGATAAAAATAATATTTATTTATTTTTCCACTATCTTCCCCCTATTTTATTAAGTATTCCTTCAGCAATTCCACCAATTGCGTTACCTGCTTGTGCTCCCATCGCCGGATTACCTGCTTTAGTACCTAATACTCCACCTATGATAGTTCCTGCCGTTTTCGCTACTGGTGCCAAAAAGTTTGCAATGGGTTTAATAATCTTTTGATGAACCCAACCCGCAGCTTTCTTAATTCCGTCCCATAATTTTTTAAAGAATCCTGCCGCTATTTCTGATTTAATATTAATTAAAAAATATATTTCATCACTTATATTCTAATTTTTATTTAATGATAAATGAAACCGATTTTAAAAATAAATGAAACAGAGGAGGAAGAAATTAATGAAAATGTTCAACAAAAAATAAATGTTGTTAAACCAATTACTGAAATAAAAACTTTTTCATCTGTTGAAGAATTTAATGACTATTATGCTAATAATAAAAAATTATTTGAAGAATTGACAACATGTAAATTGAATAAAATGTTTAAAGTTGATGGATTCAAAATTTCAAAAATAAAGGGGGTGGTTAGTTTGAAATCTATTCCTCAATCAAGAATCACCTCATTAATGAAAATTGATGATTTAACAAAAAGAATAGAAATTATTGAAGAGCGAATAAATCAAATAATTGATTTCATAAATTCAAATAATCATTAATTTCTAATTTCTTCTTCTCGTTTATGAGGTCTTTGATTATGACTCCATTGATTCCATTTATTTTTTAAACAATTCTATAATATTGCTTCCCTTTAAATCTTTGAATATAAACAGGAACACCATCCTCTAAAATTCGATAATCTATTTTATCTGGTTTTACTTGTTGGGTCATTTATGTAAGAATAAATAAATAAATTATTTTAAAATTAATGTTAAAATAAATGATACAAAATCGTTCAATATTGTATGAATTCTTACGTTTACAAAAAAAGTCACACAACCCGCTCTCATATACTACTAACAACAAACACTTGTTATTGTTTATAATTCAAGTGAATGTTGTACACAAAGACAACAATTGTCTATCAATTGTTGTCTTTGATTCAACTTTGACAAGAATCACAAATGATTCTTCTCAAAGTTGCTCAGTGAACAACAAACACTTGTTATTGTTTATAATTCAAGTGAATGTTGTACACAAAGACAACAATTGTCTATCAATTGTTGTCTTTGATTCAACTTTGACAAGAATCACAAATGATTCTTCTCAAAGTTGCTCAGTGAACAACAAACACTTGTTATTGTTTATAATTCAAGTGAATGTTGTACACAAAGACAACAATTGTCTATCAATTGTTGTCTTTGATTCAACTTTGACAAGAATCACAAATGATTCTTCTCAAAGTTGCTCAGTGAACAACAAACACTTGTTATTGTTTATAATTCAAGTGAATGTTGTACACAAAGACAACAATTGTCTATCAATTGTTGTCTTTGATTCAACTTTGACAAGAATCACAAATGATTCTTCTCAAAGTTGCTCAGTGAACAACAAACACTTGTTATTGTTTATAATTCAAGTGAATGTTGTACACAAAGACAACAATTGTCTATCAATTGTTGTCTTTGATTCAACTTTGACAAGAATCACAAATGATTCTTCTCAAAGTTGCTCAGTGAACAACAAACACTTGTTATTGTTTATAATTCAAGTGAATGTTGTACACAAAGACAACAATTGTCTATCAATTGTTGTCTTTGATTCAACTATATTAAAAATTTTAATTATATCTTTTAATTTATATTTATTTACGTTCACATTTCTTTTATATCCTTTATATTAATATAAAATTTCGGTTGATCTTCACTCTTTTTCACATATTTTTTCAATAAGATACCCAATTTTTGTATTTATTCTGATTAATATTTTTCACTGTTAATTTTATTGATATCTCAAACTATTTCAACATTTAGTTTTTTAAAAACTCTATTTTTTGTTCTCTCTCTCAATTTTCAAAAGTCATTAATTTTGCATTACTTTATTTAAAATATAATTAACATTGGATAAAAACATTTATTATAATGCCATTTTGGATCAATCTTATGATATTTCAAATCTTTTAAAATACACTCATTCATAACAAATAGTTGCCCTAGACATGTGCGTAACCTCTGTGTACGATATTCCAACACCTTACGACCTGTATGCAAGTTTTTAATTATTGAATAAAAAACAACAACATACCGTACTTCGAGTATAAAACATGTATACCCTAATAAAAACAAAAATTAGGACATATTTGATTTATGATTTCTTTTCACAAATCGAAATTTTGATCTCTCAATTTTAAACATTTTTCAAAAAAAAACTTATAAATATATTTCTTATTGTATAATATTGAAAAATAAATCATCATGGATGAATATTACTAGTACTTCAGAATTATTTATTTTTTCGATCTAAATATAGAAATAATATCTACTCTATATAAAAATAACAATTATTTAATTTTATTGAAATTTTTATTATTTGATTAATATATTTTATGTGATATCTTAAATAGCAATAAAAACTACACCACATAGTTATTCTAGGGTACCTTCATCTACTTCTAGAATTATAGGCTCTGGATTCGAATCTATGGTGCGCTATTGATAAAGTAAATTTCTCCATAGGCCCCCAAAAAATTGGCAACCCAGGAATTATAGGGTATTATATTGAGTTTGCCTTAAAATTTGAGAATAGACTATTTAAACCATCTGAACATTAACAAGTGTTTATAAAATTAGCTATTCATCTATAAATGGCTAGTAAATATAAAATTAAAATGAGATATTCTTACCTCTTCAAATTCATATTTCGAAACAATAAATGTCCATTTATGACTCCGTGAACACGGGTTTTTCTATAGATACAATACTGCCTTCATTAAATAAAAAAAAAATATTCGAAACTCACACTAGTAAATGTGGTACATATTACTATAGACAATTTCCTCTAAAACTCTTAGGATAGCAAGATCGAAACACCCAAACCCAAATTTGATGCTGATGAATCTGATTTGTGAATAATAAATCGCAATGGTTATGACTATAATAAGGAATATAATTGAAAATGGAAAAGTATCCCTTCATTTGAAGAAATAGTTAATAAAAGGATACTAATATCAATAATATCGGAACAACTCTACATAATGCAACAGATGGAAGTAGTAACGACGCAGTTGGATAGTGTTTAGAAGAAGATAAAAATAAACTACTCAATTTATATTACCCATAAACAAAAATACAAAATAATTTTTATTATAATAAGAGATTCAACACTTCTGCATCAGTGCAATACATTTTTGCAGTTTTACCTGTGTTATCTTTAATAGACTGGTCCATATTGAACTCAGACAAAAGGAATTCAACAATTTTCCAGAAGTTATGCATACAAGCGTGATGTAATGCAGTTTTTCCTTCTTTGTCTTTATCATTTGTTTCTTTTACGTAATCAGCAAGCAACTTGACAACAAGTAGATGACCTTCACCGCATGCAATCATAAATGCGGTCATTCCATTGTTGTCTCTTTTGGAAAATTCAACTCCATCATCGATAAAAAGTGACACCAAGTCATAGTCACCATTTTTGGCAGCGATCATCAACGGAGATCTTCCTTCGTTGTCGACTCCATTGAGGTCTATTGATTCGAAAAGGGATACAAATTGCGCAAAATAGTAAAATCGGCTCTTTGAAGCTGCAATTAAGGAATTTTCATTATTACGATCGCGATTTCTTGGCTTTTGACCTCTTTCCAAGCAATTCATGAACGTTCTGAAGTTATTAGAACGCGCGCTATTAACTAAAACATTCCGAAGCTCTTTATTTACTTCGATATCTTTTGATCTTTTCGCCAAAATCCACTCAAACGTCTCATATTGACGATATTCTGCACAGTACGGTAATGCTTTATGGAATGTAATGTTCAAACGCTCTATTTCATTAATGATTCTCGTATCTCCGCCGGAAGCAATGTAAATACCAATGGAATGGTCATGAGAATCCTTATTATGGAGCTTGGAACCTATTGTACGTAAGAATTTAAAGCACTCGTAAGCAGAAAGGAACGATGCTGTTTGAATAATTGTTGGATCATTTCTTAATATTTTGCAAGGTTCAAATATAGTAAAAGTTAGTTGCATATTCGGTTCGAATGATATCTTTTTAAGGCTATTTACATCATCTTTTCTGAGTGCTGTTAAAATTTGAACTTCACGATCTAATTTCACGCCAAAATCAAGGATTCTCCAGTTATTTGAGCGATATTCGTTGATATTTTTGATAATAGGGACAAGTTCGTAGTCAATGAACCCTGATTCGAGTAGTTCATCCAATAAAGGAAAGATTGATTCATAAAATTCTTCTGCTTCTTGCTTTAGATCGCGTGCCATTATGAGGAACATCAAAAGAAACTGATTGTAAAAGTTTTCTTCATATAATCTTGTTATTACTGGTATGTAATCTCTTGATGAAAATAATTGGTCTTCAACACATTGCTTAAGGAGTAGTAATTCTGGTATCTTTGATAGATAATTGTCCTCACTGACAACAGTTAGACATCTATCAAGTAACAATTTCCCAAATTCTCCTGCAGGTGTTCCAAATTTTGCTAAATCTATAAAAGTAATGCAGAATTTTGATATTGCTTTAACTATATTTGGTCTAATTGATATGATGCATGGTATATTTTCGACTATTGTAGAAATTCCATCATCCGTTTCTGCAAATTTTGTTTTTAATACTTTTTCTGCTGTTTTTTGTATATTATCATTATTAATATTGGTTAAAAGCTCTTGTAACTCTATAATATCATCAGCAAAACGTAAACTTTCCTCATCTAATTCGTTCATAAACTTTTTTTGGAAACGTATACTGTTAAAAAAGTGACAAAATTCGAAAAACACCAGACCCTGAAAATTTTTTTTTAGACTGGAAAAAAAATGTCTGAAGATTCATCAGATTCTTCTGATTCATCATATTCTTCTGATGCAGTACTTCATTATGATGAATATCAAGACTATAAAGATCTTACTCCTCTTCCATTACCCGAGCAAATTCCAGGATTTTTCGAAATTAAATACACTGACGATTATAAACAGCTTTTTGGTTACTTTTTTGCACTTTATACAAAGCAGGAGTATTCACAACGTGCACTAAATCTATGCAATAAAGTAATTTCTAAGTTTTGCCTTCATTATTCTGCTTGGCAGTACAAACAGCGTATTTTAGAACATATTGATTTCGATGTTAAAGAAGTCCAACGTGAAGTTGAAACCCTCATTAAATCTGATACAAAAATTTACCAAGCATGGACATTTTATGAATGGCTGATTGACAGACAGAAAGAGCCATTAGATCCCATGCCATTATTAGAAAATGTGTTCAGACAAGAACCAAAGAACTTCCATGCATGGAGTTTCGTTATTTGGTACGCAAAACGCTGGAATAATCCAGAACCACTTTACCAGCTCGCTTTGTATCACATCGACCTTGATGCTAGAAACAATAGTGCATGGAGTGCAAGAATGACACTTTCTGAAATGTTAAACAAAGATCCAGCAGCAGAATTCGAAGATGCTGTTAAATCAATTCGTGAAATCCCACGAAATGAGTCTGTTAGGAACTATTTACTTGGTTTATGCGAGAAATATCCTGAATTTGTTCCGAAATTAGTCGAAATCGCAAATGAATTAAAAGAAAAGGATCCAACGAACCCAGCATCATATAGATTACTCCTCCACAAAGCAACTCTTGATAAGAACCAGGAAATGATCAACGAACTTTGCGATAACTTAATAAAGTACGATGGAATACGCGCTAACTACTACAATCTTCTTAAAGCTGGAACCATACAGTATATGTAATATTATAAAGCTAAATGTTGTATTATAAAACATTTATATTAGAAATTTTTTTTATAAATACTTTTTCAATGATAAATCTGTATACTATTTTTGTAATTGCTGTTCAAATGAAATTTTTTTATACGTTTTCTTAATGTTTAGGATGAAATATCAGAAATAACTCATTTATTAATCTTAATCAATGGGATTTACTTAGAAAAACTATGAGATTTTCTGAGAGGTAGAAGCAATTAAGTCACGAAATTCTATATATATCATATGCAATTTCAATATTAATTTTCTAAAAATAAGAATTATTATGTTTCCTTGAAAATTTGTCAATAAAGTATGCATGTTATGAAGATTTATAGGTTTTATTTTTTGAAAGTCGTAAATTAAATTTATGAAATTTGATATGCAATAAAAAGATCAAAAATAGTATTTTCTGTTGATTTGTAGTAAAAAGAAATTGATTTCTTTAAAAAAGTTTTTTTGGATAGTAAAGATTACCAATCAGATTCAGAATCTGTCTGTTCGTCCTCATCATTAGACTCACTCTCCTGGACATCTTCTCTTCTTCTCTGCATTTCCATCAAGAGGAGCTCAGCGACGTTAGCAGATTTAGGATCAATCTCTGGTTTCTTCTTTTCTTCTTCCTTGTTGACATTGACCTTCTTGAGAGTCCAGTAACCCTGTTTGATGAGCGACAAGTAGTCTGGAGCAGCTGGTTTCGGTGGTGGCGGTGGTGCAGCCTTTGGTTTCGGCGCGATTGGTCCACCTCCACCTGTCTTTGGTGGCGGAGGCAATCCAGCTGGTGGTGGTGGCGGAGGAGGTGGAGGAGGTGCTGCAGCGGCTGGTGGAGGAGGAGCAGCGTCGAAAGAGAATCTTCTTGAATCTTTTGAGTCCTTTGATTCTTTCATTGTCTTTCCACGTTTTCTTTCTTCCTTTCTCGCCTTCTTTTCCTCCTTCCTCTTCTTCCTGTCTTCCGAGGTATGCTTCTTCTTCTTATCCTTGTCCTTCTTGTGTTTGTCTTTATCTTTGTCTTTGTGCTTCTTATCCTTTGTAGGATTGGATTCTGCTTCGTTGCTGTAGACATTCGTATATGTGGAGATGTTGATTGATGATCTGGAAGCTGCTTTAGGCTCTTCTGGGCGTTGTGGCTGTAATGTGGCCACATGAACCGGTTTCGGTTTAGGAATGTAGGCTGGACGTGGCTTCTTTGGAGCACGTGGCTTGCGCTCGTGATTGGCCGTGTCTTCAATTGGGATTCCTGTGGCTTCTTCGTCGGCTTTGTAACGAACAACATAATTCTTCACCCAGCCACGCCAATCTTCGGTACCTGGCTTTGGAGGAGCAACAAGAACACGATCTTGGGATCTGATGTGGCCTGCGTAGACAGAGATAATGGCATCAGATTCTTTTTGAGTGAATAATGTATTTCTGCGAGCATTTGCGGATTTGGCAGGCTTCGCTTCACCCTTGTTGTCTCCCATGACGTTTAATTCCTCTCTAAGTTCGTCTGCATACTGATTAAGCAAAATACTTGGATCTGAGATTCTCTTCATGATTTCATCCGGATCTTTAACACGACCAATTCCAGCAAAGTTGTCAAAGTTAAGTACTTGCTTGGGGAATTCCATCATTGTTGCGATATTTTGGATTGATTGACCGGGGAAATCTTGTCTTGTGTATTCAATTCGAGGATAGTAAGGTTTTTCAACGCGTCTGTCAAAGAAAAATGTGCCATCTTGTTCGTAAAAGAAATTTAAGTATTGAGTATTCGACTCCTTGATAAGTCTGATCTTTTCGCTCAAGTTATATGTTTTTTCTTTGATTTTGTTGATATCATTTAGGACTTCTTTAAACAAATTCATAGCGAAGATGTTTAAAAACTTAATTTGAGCAGTAACTCCCTTATTAATGATATCCTGCATGCCGTCAAGCATCTGCTCAGGACTCCCTCTTCGATATCAGGAATACGGATAGCAGGATACATTTTTTAAAAAATTAGGATTTGAATGAAAAAGTGATTTGTTTGTACTGCAATCGAATTTTTAAAAACATGATGTTTGCATTCAGTGCATAGTGTATATCTAATATTTCATATCTATTAGTAGATATCTCAAAAAATTTAAAACTTTGCCAGGTACACAAAAATTTTCTTTGTTAGTAAATTTAGAGTACTTGGATTGAATCGAGCAATTTCATTTTCAATTCAATTGAAAACGAGTCAGCAATAATTCAATCTACAATCTCAGAAACTAAATTCATAAAAAGGCCATAATATAGACAATCATGATAAATATATATTAATGTGTAATTTTACAATTTGATAGATCATCTGTTTCAAAATCTTTCAACTGCTATTTTGGAAAAGGTACATTCACTAGGCGATAACAGTAAAATGGGATGAAAATAGGATAAATAGCATCCCTATATAGTGCCTAACAATATTTATACGGGCCAAAAAAATTTGGCTAGAGATTTGGCGAGTTAGGAAACTTAGAAAATCGTGAGGAATTTTTATTTTCGAATTTTTTTTGGAAAGTTAAAATTGTGATTAAAAATCGATTTCCGGGAGAACTAAGCATCTCATCATATATTTAAATCGATATAATTATTAAATAATAGTTGAATAGTACAACTACATGAAATTGTGGCTGAATATACAGAAAAAATGAACATATTTGACATTTTTGAAAATTCATATAGTTAGATGGTGACAGACTCATAAACTATACTTTAGCTAAGAATGGTATATGATTTCAACAACACATGGTTAAAATCGTAAAAATCTTTTAGATTTCAAACAGATATATGGTAATCTAATGGAACAGAGTCAGCAAAGAGCATGTAAAATATGTTACAATTAACTTTTTATTATATCCAATAGTAAATATCGAATGGTATCCAGCTTTATGGTTAAATATTTTCTTATCGAGCTTCTCTTGAACTGTTGTATTAAGGTTGTAAATTTTTGATGCTAGAAACTTTGGAATCTTCTTTGCTGCAGCATTTTTCTTGAGAGTTCTTGCAATTTCGAATAGATCTGCGCATTGTATGAAATGGGGGCTTTAAAATATCTTGAAAACAGAATAGGACTGCTTTTCCAAAGGAATGCTTACTTGTAAATCAGAGAGTTTCAAAATTGAGAGCAAGATTATCATCATAACTTTCGATTTTGCTGCGAAAAAGGAAGACAAGGTATTAACAAATCATTTACTGTTGTTCATCAAAAGAAGAAAACTTTGATAACAACTAATGATGATAAAATCAAGCAATCTTTTAATATTTTAAATTGATAAGACATTCAAAATATTTGAATGGTTTAAAATATTTTCTTCTAATTTCTCTAATATATTATCATGATTATATAATCAAATTTAAATTTTTATTCAAAAAGGCAATAGTTCAAATTTTTAATTTCAATAATCTTAATTCTGCAATAAATGTATTTAATTGTAGCAAATTTAATGATCCTTCGTCATGCTTAGCAAGTAAAATTCTGCATTATTTCAAAAGTCAATAATTCTCTAGTAACTTTTCCCCAAACCCTAACCATTATATTATATGTGTAATAGAGAATAATTGCAAAAAAGATGGCCGAATTTACTGGGTAGTTCTTGTGATGCGAAATAATTGAATTTAACACCTAGTTTTAGCAGCATCAATCTCTTTTTGCTCTCATTTAAATGCTTTTGCACACTTTAATTTTGAAATATAAGAGTTTTGGAAATTATCAAATTTATCTGCTCAAATACTATAGATCTTCATAAGTGTTAATAGAATCACCAGCCTTACATATAGTGTTTAATATAATGATGCACATCATACTGGGATTTATTCCTTATTCATCTAGTTATTATAAGATTTACAACCCCATGAAAATTTAAAATTTTGTCAAAAATAGTGAATGTACCTTTATTTTGGATTATTTACGAATAACTCATATCAGAGTTGGATTTTAAATATCTTAGCATATGGTTATTTTCAAAACACAAAATGACTTGAGTGATTTCACTCTATTAATAAACTCCTGCTGAGACGACGTATTTAAAAATCGGCCATTGCGACTAAAGTTTTAAGAAAAATCCTGCATTTTATATGATTTAGATACGAATCAGAATAATTTAATGATTGTACGTTAAATTTCCTCACTTACTTTTACATTTTGTAGTATTTTTCAAATCATGATCTTTATTAAGATCATATGACTTTAATCAAAACTTTGATTTTATTTTTCTGATGTTTGAATACTTATGTTGGAAATTCTCCATCACGTATTCCTCAGCAATACCAATTAGATCTTCCTAAATAAAAATTTCATGCCTTGTATGAAAGTTATTGAAACATTTCATTATATTATCCTTTGTCTACAATCATTCTTTTATTTCAATTATTTGATGATATACTTGCTTAAGCATAGCCTAACATCGTAAATTTAGTTATTTTAGCATATTGTATCAAGTTTTGATAATTGTTTTTGAAAATCTTTCTATTTTAATGTAAGCATGAATTTGTGCCATTTCAATGGCATGAAAATTTAAGTGTTCTAAAAAATTATATGGAAATTATGTTACATTAAACCAATGAGGAAAAGGAATGCCTAAAAAGGAGGTTTGTTGAGCTGGAAATGAAGGATTGGAAATTTTTATTTACATGTAAAGAAAATGATAGCGTAAATGTTTACTCATGAGCAAATTCCTGTGTCCATTGCTTGGCCTTCCTAACATATTCATCATGGTTATCTTTATATTCTGCAGCGATCTCTGTATTGAGAGCATCAATTGGATCTGGGGCAGAAATGAGGAGATATACTTGCTCAAGGATATCCATAATTTTAACTTTTGGACTCCACTCATTCTTTAATAAAGACAAGCAGATGTTGCCTTCTGGATTTACATTTGGATGGTAAATCTTTGTTCCAAATGTAACTGCTGGAGCACGAAGTGGGAACTCTGGTGGAACAGAAATGTTAATGGTGAAGTTTCCACCTGCGTATGGAGAATCAGCAGGCCCGTGAATTATTCCACGAAGATGGGTGATATCATCACCAACAACGGAAAATGTGTAATTTGGATTTGGATTTTCTTGAATTGCTTTCAATTCGTTTCCGATCTTACGAGCTAAAGAAGCCATTGAAATAATAAAAAAAAATTTTTGGATCGATAAATGGTCGAACAAGTAATTTTTAAAGATTGTAATTTCTTACTATATTATCTATATTTTATCATTGACGATTTGCTGGAAAAAAAATTTTTGTCATGTAATGTGACGATGTCAAAATGGAAAATAAAAAATGCTGTAATGCTTTTTGTTTGATGTAGTTATTCGTTTTTGCATAATTTCATAAGACCGGGATTGAAAATCCGAAGATAATTGAAATTTGTCACTTTTATTAATTAATGGCTGATATACAATACAATTTCATTCAGGAATGGCAGTTCTGGGTGATTACGTGTCGCTTTACTGACAAAACGCAATACGAAATAGAACCAATTATTAAAGTTAGATCAAAAAGCAAATTTGCAGAATATTTAGCTTCTCTTCCTGATGTTTTACATCTTCAGCCCAAGCAAAATAGCAAGATTTCTCTTGCATTCTTCTCAGATAATATACAACCTGCTTGGGAAGATAAAGCTAATACTGAAGGTGGTTGCATGTACTTCACTCTGCAAGATAAACTCAAGGAACGCGCCCAAGATCTTTGGGAATACCTTCTCGCCGCTGCTGTAAGTGGCGAATTAAATAATTGGTTAATTAATGACGTTAAAGGCAATGAAATCTGCGGCGTTATTGTATCACCGAAAGTATATAACGCATACTCATTCGAAATATGGACAAGAAGCAATAATCAGAATAATCAAAGATTCCAAGCTAAATTGCAAGAAGAACTGAAAAAACTTCTCAATTTGGAATCTGATCTCAAAATACAATGGCTTAGCCATAGACGTAAGAAATAATCTCATAATATTTTTTTCATTTTGTAATAAAGTCTTTTCTTTTAAAAGTTTGTGCTAATAAATTACAGTCTTTTAGAATCAAATATTGAACTACGTTCAAAAAAAGGTTAAAATATGAGTTTCTTTGAATAATTTTTTGAGTCTCACATTTTCTTGAGGGTTCTCTGTATCACTTAAAACGGTTGTTCATAGGAACGCTTATATTTGAAATATTGACTTTGATAATTAAATCTCATATCTCATAATTCTAAACAAAGTACAAAATCATATTGGATATGGAATTTTTATTGAGGGAGATCAAATTGGTATTGCGGAGGAATGTATGATGGAAAATTCCCAACATAAGTGATCATAAGTTATATTCAAAGTTTTAATCAAAGTCGTTTGACCTAAATATAGATCGTATTTTGAAACGCACTGCAAAACATAAAAGAAAGGGAGGAAACCAAACGAATAATCATTATATTAATCTGTTTCGGATATAAAACATATAAAATTCTGGAATTTTCTTAATGTCTTAGTCGCAATGGTTAATTTTGGAATACATCATCACAGCCAGTGTTTATTAATAGAGAGAAATCATTTTGCCTTATTAAAAAAATTTTATTTTGAAGCAAATTTACATTTTATATTAGTTTTAAAAAATAAACAAATAAACAAAATGAAAGCTTAGTAGCTTGGAGAGAAGATTGAATCGTATCGATCGGCCATTGTCTTGAGAGCTTCAGCCAACGACCTGTTTCCTGGGAAAATCTCTTCTATTGGGATATACAGTGTATCGCTTAATCTTCTTTGGGCTTCTCTTTCTGCTGGTTGGGTGAAGAAGGAATAATCTAACAATTTTGACATTCCTTGTGTTGACTTTCCCTTCTGGAGGTCATCCAATCTTTGTTTGAGCAAGTCTGAGTTCGGAAGTACGTGTAATCCTGTTTTAATTTTATTGATTGCGCTAATCTTGTCAGTACTGGCTTTTTCAGCAATAAATGAGATGTTAAGCCATACTTCAGGTATTTTGTTATTAAGGAATACAACTCTGTTGAGGGCAATGTCTGCATCCGAATATTGTTGGTTAATATAGTAAAGTTCTGCAAGGCCACACCAGAGAATTGGATTGTCATTCCAGTAGCTCAAGCATCTGCAGTACATGGCGTAAGAATCGGCCAAATTGTCTGTTTCAAGTAAAATTCGGGCATGAGCAAGCTGAATGGTCTGATCAACCTGAAATTCTGGTGGTAATTCTTGTATGATCTTTGCTCCTTGCTCAAGATACTCTCTACTGCCGGACAAAGAGATAAATAACAAAAATTGTTGAACTACTTCAATTATTGTTGGATATCTGGTGTAAAGATCGTAGTATAGGCTGTATGCTTCATCATATCTCTTGGCGAGCTGTTGTGTAAAAGCAACTTGAAAATTAATATCATCCATGGTCATTTTCGCAGGAATGTCTCTTCGCAGTATGTCAAAAACTCTCAGAGCATCAGTGTAATCCCTTGTGCCTCTATAGAGCATTGCCAATTTAAAATTAAAATCAGCGCCAAAATTAATTTTTTGAGAACATTTAGTACTGAGTGAAAAACATTCACCGGCATCATTGTAGTAGTTGAAATGTTGATTTACAACTCCGTATGCATACCAAAAATAAGGATTGTCAAAATTTGGAGCAATTTTCTTTGTTTTTGCATAGCAAGCAGCAGCATTTGGATAGTCATTCATCTGTAAATAGCAATGGCCGAGCTTAGCCCACAATTCTGGAGCAGAAGGGGATTCTTGAATTTGTTTCATAATTTCTTCAGTCGTTGTCATAAGAATGCTAATGGGATTCTTGAGTTTTGGTTCATAGAAAGCAATTGATGCGTTTGATGGATTGTAACCGCAAAGTTTTCTTAGAGCTAATTTTGTATCTCCCATAACAGCGATCGATTTCGTAATGCCTATAAGCAATTCCCATGATTTTTCTAATTCGGAGTCCGCTTTAGCGATAGTTTCTTCCATGGTAATCTTTTTTGTCATGTTTGACTCTTGAATGTTCAATTTTTTTTTCTGACAGATTCGAAGCAGAAATCGTAGAAAATCTTATTGATTCATAAAATATAATTATTTTTATTTATAATTATTTCGTGATCTGCTTTATCAGATTGATTCCAATTTTTTCTTATATTTGGTCAAATTCGCAAACGTCTCTTATGACCACAGTTTCAATGGAATGCTTATTGCATCCAGCGTATTTCTATTCATGCAAACGTAGACAATAGTATTCAATGATTATTGAGAATTGGATGATAGCTGAGATTTATTTATTAATTAACGTAGCCCAATTTTCTGACTCCAGGAAATATGACTAGCATCTTATTAAACATCAGTATAACGTAATATTAAATACATTTTCCCATTTCATTGAATAGCATATAAGCATCTCTTGAAATTTCATTGGGCGAACAATAATGAAAATTAGGTCATGATAGTTTCATTATTTCAGCATGATATACATTCAAAAATATTTTTCTCTTTCATAAGTGTTACATTTAAATTTTTCAATATATAATGAGATTAATGACTAGTTCTTGAGCCCGGAGATCGCTTTTTTTTTAATAGTGAACTTACCATTTTCTGACATTCTCTCAATTTTTTGACACCCCTAGTTTTATGTCCAATTTTCTAAGGGAAAAAGTTAATATCTTTGGTCGTGAAAAAGTTATTATAAATCATTATATAGAAACTAATATAGCTGTTATAGATATATGTATATTTAGTCCTGTTCATGCTGTAACCCGCGGTATAATTCCTTGGAAACCACATAGCGGTAGAGTTTTTTTTTTGATTTTGACCAGGTCTAGATATATTGATTTTTTAAGTGTGCACTTACAACCCTATGGCATGGCCTTCAATTCAGATGTTTAAGATTGATTTTCAATGACGCCTCAAGTCAGTTGCCAAAAATTTGAGTTAAAGTCAGATGGGTGTAAGTGCATCCTTAAGAGCATGTCAGGAAATTGTAGTGCACTCATAAATACAAGCGATACATCTCTTGTAATCCTATGTTTTCAGCTATATCTGTCTGATAATTTGAAACAAACAAACAAAAACATAAAAAAAAATTGTGTAACATTCATATGCTTAAACAACGAACTTTGTAAGATTGGAGCCGAAGTCTGGTTAATAAATGAAGAATATGTGGAAAATAAACTTTGAATTTTGTAATCTATTTTGAGGAATTGCATTATCATGAAAATTTTCATTCACTTACGCATAACTGATGTGAAGAGTAATCGAAAAATACCAGAATCAAATGCCATGTCATACAGTCGTAATTTTCCCCTTAACAAACCCTACATTTATTAAAACATATGAATGATGGCAATGAAATATATGAAAAAAAGTACTTATCCAAGATTGAAATGTTAATAAATATTTTTTTATTTGAAGTCATTTCATTCGTCATTTTGGAAAACTGTTTTTAAATCCTTATGAATTTTTTGCTAAATATTATGCGAAGAATCTGAAGAAGAAGATTTACTTTCTGCATTATCTTTCTTTTTCTTCTTGCAACAGCAGCAGTAGCAACAAAATACTATTGAAACAATTATAATAATAATGACAACTCCAGCAGCAACAGCAATTATGATTTCTAAGGTACAATTAGTATCAGAAATAGATACAAATCGAGCATCTGCCTTCTCATTGTCCACTAGAATAGCAGTTTTGAAATTATATTCTTCTGTTGAAACATAAAAACCAAGCAAACTAGGGCCTTCATTATCTCTTACCCCTAAAATATGAGTTACGAAAGGATATCGATATTGATATAAATTTAAAATTGAGTCACGAGATGAGATATAGTTGCCATTAATGTCATATTGAGATATTGAAAAGGATCCTTCTAGATATGTACTTGCAACTATTTCTACTGGTACAAAAGCAGAGTAGAAACAGTATCCTTCGTGCTTCTTTGAGATGAAAACTCCATAACCTGGTGCTGCACCTGGATAATTCTTCGTTACTAACACTGCTGTTGCATTCCCCAGCAAAACAACTTGAGTGTCGCATCCAAAATCGGTGGTTTCATTTGAATAAACTGTGAGATATAATGATGAGTATATTTTAGTTGAATTGAGTATTAATTGACCGTCAGACCTGTAAAAAACTCCATATATGCTTGTATTCCCAAGTAATATTTCTGAATTTTTGCCAGATTTGGCTGTAGCTGTGACATCACTTATTTTTTGATCTTTATGTGTTTGGAATATGACGAATTGGCGTTTACTACCATTATATGATTGACCGGATGCGAATGTGAGAACATAAGATCCGGATTGAAGCTTCATATTTTTATTATGCACTAAATTAAAATCAGCTTAATATTCAGAATTAGAGTTTACTGATCCAGGAAGTATATTGGCTGTTCCTGGATAGTAATAAGTTCCATTTTCTAGGTACGAATATGGAGGTGTTTTCACAGTTGAATCAGAATATTCCATTGATTTCAATCCACAGGATCCTGTCATTCCCTGATCTGATGTTTGAAGTCTAAGTATAGTATTTTTTGAAAATTTTATAGTAACCTCTGGTCTGGAATCTGATAAAAATGGAATATGAGGAATATAGGTCAAATAATGATAAAGTTCTACATTAGCATTTTTCAGATAATCTTGGTAGAAGGTATAATCCATGAAAGAGGCACTTGCGAAGAAAATACAATAAGATTTAGAAACTTCTACTAAATCTGATGTTATTTCAATAGGGTTGGGATCATAATTGAGTACAAAATCAATTGAATCACATTCATCGGTAATTTGAAAAATTTCTATGTACATCTTGAAAGATGGGTAAACTTTTGTTTGAACATAAAAATTTTCTGGATCTTTGTAAACTCTATTAAGAAGAGAACCATTAGATAAAACAAAATGATCAGCATTTAGAAAAACAACATAAATAGGCAAAATCGCAACCGAATTTTTAAATCTCGATCGCAAAGAAAAATTTCGATTTTTTATAAAATCGCGAACTTCTGAAAAATTGCGAACAGAAAAAAATCGCGATTGTTTTTGAAATCGCGTTTTATTAGAAGTACGCGATTTTATAAAAAATCGAAATTAGATTAAAATATAGCGTCTAAAACCAAATTGCGAACAAGTTATGTATTGATTAAGAAAAATATATTTAAGATGAAGAATTGCTTGCTATGATGTACTGATTCATGATCAGTACATCATAGCAAGCAATTCTTTACATGAAGTTCGAAAACTTGGGTGCAATCAGATCTGATTGCACCCAAGTTTTCGAACTTTGTATAGGGAATTAAAGGGTGAGAGATATATAGTCTATCTATATATCTCTCACCCTTTAATTCCACCTCTGTAAGCGATAAAATTTTATCAAATATTTTATACTACGAGAAATTATGGCTTTGTTTCATAGACGTATTGAATTTACCGATTGTGTTAAAATGAGATCGCTTAATCTTTAAATTTATTAAGTTAATCAAATTTTTGATTAAACGCAACGATGTTTTGTGAAATCAAAACGATAAATATTCAATGCAAACGCACCTGAGCTATGTTCCTTTATTGCAGCCATTAAACATTTGTCTGGCTCACAATTTGAGAGCACTTCACCTAAATAATGCTATAATGAAAATTGAATTAATAAAAATCGTTTCTTCAAATAATCTTCACAAATATATTATCATTATGTGAATTTTTACTTATAAAATTAAATACATATTTAGTTTCTAGTATTTTTTTTTCTATTGTCATTCAAAATATAGCTACAAAACGAAGAACCATAATTTTGATAAACACTAAATGATAATATGATTTATAATATAAATAAAATATTTTCAAGTCCAATAAATCAAAATTGATATTTTAAAAAAAAACTAATTAAGAATTCAGTGATAATTTTATCAAATATTACAAGACAATATGATTTATAAGCAGAATAAAATGTGAATTATATCAATATGACACTTTTAACCTTTTTTAATCCGAAAAATCCAAAATACAATTTATACATATATTTAAGCAATATAATTATATATGTGATGATAGATCTCCATGATCTGTAATAAACAGAAATTCATCAAAAGTGACAGCTCTCAATTTTTTGACATTTGTAAATTCTAAATTGAATGAGAAAAATGAAATAATACTAAGCATAATACAATATTCTAGATTTAATTATAATTAGGAAAAGTTAGTTTTGAGAGTACTTTTCATAGGCATATAGAATGAAATCTTCTGAAAAATAATATCACATAAACTCATATTATTTTCTAATATATAACTATTTTATATAAAAATCAAATTCAATGATCTTAAAAGCGAAGGATAAACCTCAAAATTTACGAATATAATGAGTGGGAATAGGCGTAAAGCAAAAATTGATATTTCATATGGTTTTATGATAGATAAGCATTATATTCCCACTCATTATATTCGTAAATTTTGAGGTTTATCCTTCGCTTTTAAGATCATTGAATTTGATTTTTATATAAAATAGTTATATATTAGAAAATAATATGAGTTTATGTGATATTATTTTTCAGAAGATTTTGTGTTCTTCTTCAAAATTTTATTTTTTTTATTAAAAAGAATCTTTACAAAATATACATTTACTTTAATTAATATTTAAAAACGTGCTCTATCAAAAGTTCCAAAAATTCAATATTTTAGCTTTTCTGAGGTGTCACTTTTGATGAATTTCTGTTTACAACAGATCAGAGTTTCGAGTTTTATTGAGTATTCATTGGACATCAAAGTTGAATCAAAGCAGCAAAAGTGAAATTTTCCGAGGAAATTTTGATGTAGCGAATTTTTTGTGTGAGCATTAATAGATCGAAATCACAAGAGAATATAATACCTCGCTACATATACTATTATATTATCATGTGAAATAAGAATGTTGAATCAATATCAACTGAGATATAATAGTATATAAAAAGTATTTTTATCATAGCTAAAAAAGAGATTTTTCACATGACAAAATTCTCAATGGAGAAAAACCATCTATATCCTACGTATAACGTATAACGCATTGTTTTATACTTAAACACTTCTCTATGGATATATCTTGCGTAACATATATCTATCAGACTCGCTCATTTATTAAGCTATTAATAAAAATAGTATTCCATGAAAATCGTTTTTCCATTATATTATCCGTGAAGTGCGGTGTAAACTTCACAATTCTCCGCTTCGGACGGAAAGAATTGTGTAGCCACACACACTTGTCATGCATAATTGTGTATTAAGCAAAACGAAAGCATTCACGATACAAATCTGTTAATTATAAATACTTTGATTTGACATTGAATATCTCATATCGAGATTTGAGATATCAAAAGCAAATTTTGATTTTTTATTATACAATTTATATTTGTAGTCTAATTATTATAGATATCATCAAAATATTGTGAAAGCACAATTTTTGGACCAGAAATTTTATAAAATATTCAATAGCTCAATTTTTCGAAAGTATTAGATAGCTATTATATTTGACATTGAATGCAAATATACTGTATGTGATTTTTATGAATATTTGTATTAGATAATTTGCGATCTGAAAAAAAAAATTGAATTTACTAATATTTGTTCTATTTATATAATATACTCGGGCATTATATTATGATTAGAATACAATTGCTAAAATCGAGTCTAATATTTTAGAATATTTTTTTAAGATATTTGGGATTGAGTATTCATACTATGTGATTTTCATAACCAATGAATGTGCCCTACAGTATAAGTAAAATAAGAATAATTTTTTTCAATTTGATATCTTTTTTTAAAAAAGTGTGATTTTCACAAAAAAAGTGTTATAGTAGTAGGATTATAGTCCATACAATACTATTGTAATCTCTTTTCTCGAATTTAATTTTTCAATTAGCAATTCGAGAAAAAAAATATTACTTAAAGGACGACTTATCACTCCGAAAAAGACCAAAATTAAGGACGTGATTTTTTTGAAAGTTCGCGATTTTTCAAAAAGTCGCAATTTTTTCACGAATCGCGATTTTTTAAAAAAATCGAAATTTATCGTTCAAATCGCGATTTATTAATAAATCGCGAAAAAATTCTGTTCGCGATTTTTAAAAAATCGCGATTTAAGCTAAAAATCACAATTTATCATCAAAATCTAGATTTAAAAATTCGGTTGCGATTTTGCCTATTCAATAAAACCGCTTTTAATTGATAAACTTAAAAAGTGTTCGTATTGAATGTATAAATCCAAATTTATAGCAATTGAATTCTTCCAAATTTGAGAGTCTCTCAAAAGACTTAATTAAAAAATAGTCGCAGAATAAAAGTGACATAATCGCACCAACAAAAGAAACAGAAATTGAGAGAAAAGTAAGCTATTTTTTTTCTCCTAAATGATCATAAGTAATTATTTAGCGATAGTACTTATTGTTGGTTTAAAAATTTCAAATTAATTAATTAATATTTCATTCTAAATGCCCATCAAAACAAGTATACAAAGATATCTTCTAACTCTTATGCTATTCTTGAACAGGTTGTATACAGATGGAATGAAACTGAATCATAATCAAATATATCAAAAATTGTAGAGATTGTGAATATTTATTTAAATTGTAGAGATATAATCACAATTTGCAGATTTGATATTTCTGTAGCTAATTTAATTGAAAATTCTTAAATAAGACCCTCAAATGCATTGATTTTCCCTCCGATTATTTTGTGTAATCGTTTGAAGTTTACTCCCTTTAGTATATGATTATTTGATAGAAAATTAGTATATAAATCGATAATCATGCAGTTTGATGAAATATGAAATTGCCTTTCGTGAAATATTTATTAATTAGCGAATCTCGCTATGAAAATAACATAGCCATACGTTACATATGGCATTTTTCATGTTTTTCTTATTGTATTATGCTCAAGGTGTAAAATGAAATTTTGAAAGGACATGTAATTTGGGAAAAAATCAATGAATAGATTCATAACAATAGATAGAACAATATTTATATATACATACTCTATACAAAACAATAATATAAGCGAATTAAGCTTCTGTAGCTGTTTCCGAAGAAACTTGTTGAAAATCAACTTTGTAATCAGGAGCTACATTATCAGCGGCCTGCTCTTCTTCAGCAGGATCCGAATTGCAGTGGGACAATCTAATATAAATGTAAAACGTCACAATGAAGAATGTGAGGACGGCTTGGATAGCTAAGCCAAGCATGAATGGAAGTGGAACTGGGCGGTAGATATAAAGACCCAATTTGCAACCAAGTGCAAGAATCCATTGACAAAGAAGAGGAATTGTGACGTATCTGATTTCTTTGTTAATAACAACTAATATAAACTGTGGAAGAGTGACTATACAATCGATTAGGTTCGATAAAATTCCAACCGATTCGATTATAATTTGTGCTTCGAAAACAGAGTGGAGGCCAATGGATACGATAAGGAGTAGTAAAGCAATGATAGTAACGTATCCCATAAATTGAGCAAAGTTCTTTGCATAGAATTGATCGAAATAAAGTGTATTTGCGTCCTGATGCATATCAGTTGTTGATGCTTCAGCTTCTGGTTTGTAGAAATATACCTCTTCCAACATTTCGAAAGAAGTTTCCTATACTGAACACCGATCATCCAAACGGACTGCCAAAGTAAATAAGAATCAAACTGTTTCCAGTACCAATAAATGATTCTTAAGTAGTTAGATAACAAAAGAACTATACTAGAATCGATTTTGAAATTTTCGGATGTCTTCGTTTTGATAATTCTTGCTAACTGATCTAAATAACCAAATATTGGGAAGATCGTGCATGATAGATCAATGAAAAACATGATTGTTTCATGGTGGCGTGAAAACCATGACCAAAACATACCTGGTAAGTCCATCATTCTTTTAAAATTTTTGCAATATTTTACGATCGTAATTCTATTCAAAAGTTCAGAATTATGATCGCGAAAATATTTCTTTAATTCTTAAATATAATACTAAATATATGATAATGCTGATAAATTTTGCTTGGTCTAAATTTCAATGAAAAAGGTTTATCAAAATAAAACCTTGAAGAAAAATATCTCTGTAAACCTACCTAATAATAAATAAATAAATCTACCGTGGATTATATTGGAACACTCAAAGACTCTGAAAAAATTGAAGAAAATCAAATTTTTGAGGCAATGACCATTTTTATTCAAGTACTAATAATATGATTTTATAACAGATTCTTCAAAATTTAAATAACATTTAAACGATAAAATTATTGTTATAGACCGAAAATAGATTTTTTCGGTTTTCGCTTCAAATAATTGAAAGAATGATACTATTATAGGTTTATTATATTATATAGCATATAATCATGCTATAGCCGAAAATTATAAGTTTTGAGAAGATTGAATATAACACAAATAAATTTGAATGTAAGTTAAATTGCTTGTTGTTTTTAATAGCTATTTAATGAGAAATCCAATATTGCAAAATTCAGATTGAATGATTGAAAGAACAGAAAAAGTCATTCTTTTCAATTTCGAATATGTTTCATTGTATTTATAATTATATGGCAAATAAGATATTTAAACTTGATTTTTGAAGGAAAATTCACAAAATTGAATAAATTCAAATAATTTTTATTCAAAAATAAACTAGTTATTTGAGTTTAATACTAATTATCTATTCAAACTACAAAGTTTGTAATTTAAAATATTTTGTGAGATCAGATTGAATTAATTCAAGGTTCTTTTCAATTAATATTAATGACCATATTACGCATTTTCGAACATTCTAAACCAAATATATAAAAATGGGAGACGAATGTTAAATTTTCTAGACATAAAGAAGTTGTTTACCGAGTTTTAGCTCTTATCTCTAACAAAAAATTAATTTTTAAAAAAATGACCGAATACGTTTCACAGCGAGAAAAAAATAAAAGGCAAGATAGAATTTTCTAGACATAAAGAAGTTGTTTACCAAGTGTCAGCTGTTACTTCTTCTCAATACTGATATAAAATAAAAATCTTTATTATTTATTTAACCTTTATTGTTTCATTAAACTTCATTTATTTTATATTATAGTTTTATTCTTTTAGCTACTTGTAAAATAATCTAATTTTATATCATCATTTTACCGGATTATTCTTCAGTACATCGATTGTGTATCTAAAATAATATCATTATCCTTATTCTGTTTTTTCCAAAATTCTTTTAAATATCTTTTTTGGTTAGATTACTTTATACTTTTTACTTTTATTTTTTAATTTCAAAAAAAAAATTTGGTGATTGTTCTATTCTGTTACAATGTGCATTATCATATTCTAATGAATTATTCATTACATACATTTAAAAAAACTTGTTAAAAATGAAATTAAAAAATTATGTTTATTATTACGCTGTGAATGTGTCAACAGCGGTCATGCCTGTATCTGTATCCCATATTTGCCACAACCTTTCTGTATCTGCATTTGTGTATTTCGGTTTCAGCTGATACATTTGATTTGGCGTGTAATTTGTTCCAGTTAATGGATTAATTGGGAGATCTTCATGCGGTGTGTTATTATTGTACTCCCAAATAAAGGCAGGAATAGCCTGAATGCTTTGGCAGCGCTCCAATGTCGGCCAGAATCTCTCAATCTTCCCATTTTGGTAGGGAGAATGAGAGTCTGTATGCCGCCATTGGACGCCCCAAAGATCAAGTAGATCTTGAAAGGCGCCCCTATTTTCTGAACCGTTGTCGGTCCAGAAACAATAAGGGCGCCAAATTCAATGAAGGCGGAAGCCGCAACGTTCGCTGTCGTCGCTGCTAGCATATCTGGTATTTGTATACACGCTAGGACTTTGCGGCTAAAATCGTCGATTATGCCATAAATATACTGGCCACGAACACCCCTAAAATAATGAACATCTGCGTGCCAGATAAGATTGGGTGAAAGCGCCCAATATCTTACTGCTGTTTCTGGCCCGGCATGCTCTAATCGCGTCTTGGTGAAATGATTTTCTTTGAAGTATCTGCGTACTTCTCTATAAGATACATCAATTTGTTGTAATTTCAAACGTTTCCATTGTTTTGTTTGACCACAGGGAAAGGTCCAGTGGTCATGTATCACAGCAAGAGCTTTTATTTGGTCGTAGGGATTGACCCTACGACCTTTCTTGCCTTTAGGCAATGGGATATTCTGTAAGCTAAATTGATTTTGTAAAAAAGATTTTGAAACATCTAAATATTTGAAATCATTTGATTGAAGGGTTGGGGCGATGGGAACATGGGTGCAAGCTTCTTCCCATGTCATTTTACCTTCTTCAATCTAATTGGAAACACAAATTAGGTAAATTCGATCGACATACCCTTTGTAAGGATTCATTCTAATGAAGTACGTTAACAATCAAAATATTCTATAAGTGTCTAGTATGGAATTCAAAGGAATAAAGAAAATGGTAACGTAAATAAACGTATTATGAAATAATTTATAATTAAAATGAAAAAAAAGAAAAAATAATAAGTAAAGTGACTGGAAATGAAAATTAAAATCAGTGTACAGTTTTATTTTTTTCTCGCTGTGAAACGTATTCGGTCATTTTTTTAAAAATTAATTTTTTGTTAGAGATAAGAGCTAAAACTCGGTAAACAACTTCTTTATGTCTAGAAAATTCTATCTTGCCTTTTATTTTTTTCTCGCTGTGAAACGTATTCGGTCATTTTTTTAAAAATTAATTTTTTGTTAGAGATAAGAGCTAAAACTCGGTAAACAACTTCTTTATGTCTAGAAAATTCTATCTTGCCTTTTATTTTTTTCTCGCTGTGAAACGTATTCGGTCATTTTTTTAAAAAATTAATTTTTTGTTAGAGATAAGAGCTAAAACTCGGTAAACAACTTCTTTATGTCTAGAAAATTTAACATTCGTCTCCCATTTTTATATATTTGGTTTAGAATGTTCGAAAATGCGTAATATGGTCATTAATATTAATTGAAAAGAACCTTGAATTAATTCAATCTGATCTCACAAAATATTTTAAATTACAAACTTTGTAGTTTGAATAGATAATTAGTATTAAACTCAAATAACTAGTTTATTTTTGAATAAAAATTATTTGAATTTATTCAATTTTGTGAATTTTCCTTCAAAAATCAAGTTTAAATATCTTATTTGCCATATAATTATAAATACAATGAAACATATTCGAAATTGAAAAGAATGACTTTTTCTGTTCTTTCAATCATTCAATCTGAATTTTGCAATATTGGATTTCTCATTAAATAGCTATTAAAAACAACAAGCAATTTAACTTACATTCAAATTTATTTGTGTTATATTCAATCTTCTCAAAACTTATAATTTTCGGCTATAGCATGATTATATGCTATATAATATAATAAACCTATAATAGTATCATTCTTTCAATTATTTGAAGAGAAAACCGAAAAAATCTATTTTCGGTCTATAACAAAACGATAAAATTATCGAGGTTATGATAAAAATTTTTTTATTTTATTTTGAATGTTTTGTTTATAATGTCTATTGAAATTTTCACTTTTAAAAACGTCTTACCTACCCATTCAAAATTGATCGTAACGTAATTTTATTATTTCTATAATTACTTATATTCAATAAATTATTCAGTTAAAATTTTGGATTACTTCATTTCAAATAAATTTTACAATTGTTACAGTGTCAACCAATAATTTTTATTATACTATATCTTACAAAAATTAAATCATATGATCCAAATCAAAGGTTATATTTTGAGAGCTTTCATGTTCGTAAAATCTATCTGGGAAAATTCGATATTCTATTTTTACACTATGTTTACATTTTAAAAATACAATTTTATCAAATTGTGAAACGATTTTACACTTTTCCTTTCAATTATATTTTTCACCGGCAAAATCGTTTATTTCTAATTTTAAATAACATAAGATTAATACATGGTTCCTTACCGCTGTACTCAATATATTTTCCTCTTTACATCTTTCTTTTGATCATTGAATTCTTTTTTTCTTAACTTGGTCCAAGTCTCAAATGAAATAAAATCATTTTTATCTAATTCATTATCTAAAATACATCTTTTTCTAATGTTTGAAAATAATATTAGAAATAATTATTTATAAATAGATAAAATCAAATAATAAAACAACAAGTTATAACCTCTTTAGAGTTGAATCCAAAACAAGTTGGGAAATAGCATCCTCAATTGTTTGACCATCCTTTACCGCTAAAAATGATTTAATAGTCTTTTCAGTCTCTCCCATTCTATGATAATCTTTTGAAACCATGGCAAGAATGTTACGAGCTGTCTTTTCATCCACCATATCTGTTGGCTTGAAATATTCTCTGAATAAATCGATTGCGAAAGTGCAAAAGTGACGCATTTCTTTGTCACTTTTCTCTCTTTCTTGATCTATTGCTGATGACAATTTGTTTTCGAACTGCACTATCTGTGATTTCTTGGCCGTTTCGAAGAGCAGTCTATCACGGTGAAGCTCTTCTGCTGCAGTCGTGAGTTTAGCTTCATATTTCTGGCATCTGTTGAGTGCTTTATCCAGCTTAGATTGTAATTTCTTGATAACGAAATTATTATCTTCGAGTTGTTGACTAAGAGATTCTTGGTCTTTTCTGGAGTCTTCTAATTGCTTTCTCATCTTTCCCATTGTATTATTGTAAACATCTTCCATGTTCTTCTTTTCGCCTTCGAACTTCTTCTGCTGTTTGTCGTTTTCTTTGGCGAAATCCATCTGCATCTGCTTAATGAATTTCTCGCGTTCATCTAGCTTGTCTGTTGTGTTCTTAACGACTTTTTGCAGTCTGTCTTCATTCTCCTTGGATTTATTAAGTCTGTTTGAAAGTGTTTCAACGGTTTGTGATAATTGGTTGATCTGTGCTTCAAAGACTTTTTGAGCTTCTTCTTGCATTTCTTTTGTGGATTTTTCAAGTTCCTTTTCAAGATTTTGCTTATTGAGCTTTTCATCTTCCAATGTGTTTTCAAGGAGCTTAACCTTGTTTTGGAGTGTCTTGCATTCAATATTAAGTTGTTTCTTTGCTTCTTTTTCATCATGAAGTTCTTTTTCAAGTTCTGCTTTTTCTTTCAAAACTTGGTCATTATCCAACTTCATTTCATTGATTTTGTCTACATGTTCCTTCTGTTGCAACAAGTATGTTCTCTTGAGTTCCTTATACTTTTGTGATTTGTGCTGCATTTCTTGTGTTGTATTATCAAATGCTTGCTTAACTCCTTCAATCATTTGTGTAACATCTCCATCAGTGAAACCAAGTGTATCCTTGAACTTATCAAGTTGACTTGCAAGAGCTTCGTTAACAATATTAGCTTCGTTGATCTGTTTCTTAAGGCAATTAATGCAATTGATAATGTTTTCTGCGTTTTCATCGACAAAAAGTTCATCCAAAGTTATTGGATTTTCAGTTGTCGAAATCGAAAGATCTGTAATAAATGTTGAAATACTGTCGAACAGTTTGGCATTGTCAGCAAGTTTTTCTTCATTATCTTTGAGGGATTCTCGTGTGAAATCTTCATAATAGGCCTGAATTATCTTAATTACATTTTGCATCTTGGAAGGAATCTGCAATAACTTATTCTGCATGATAGCATCGCACTTAGGAATTAATTCTGCAGGTAATGATTGGTATATTGTGGATGGAATTTCAACTTCTTCCTTGACTTGTTTATGCTTTGCAAATTCTGATTGAAGATCCTCAAGAGATTTTCTAAGGTTATTCATTTCTGTTTGGTTTTTAGCTATATCACCGTTCAAACGCTCAATAACTTTCTCTTTTTCTGCAATTACACATTCTAATTCTTTTGCATGAACTTCACCGGCCTTTATCTTATCCTGATGCTCATTAATTTGTGTTTGAAGGTACTGTGCATTCTGTTTTAATGCTTTATTCTTGAGATTAATATCTTCAATCTTTGCATCTTTATCTTCTGCAATTTGGTATTGTGATTTATAGTTCTGGAGGTCTGCAATAGCTTGATTATATAGATTTTCCATTTCTTCAGCCTTCTTCGTCATTGATCGTAATTGAGATTCTAATTCAAGAACTTTGGCTTGGGAACTTCTAAAGTTTTGGAATATTTCTTCGCGTTTGGAACGCTGCTGGTCATTCTGTTTGGAAAGTTCATCAATTCTTGACATGTATTGATCTTGCATTAACTTAACAGCATCGTCATCGTGTGAATCAAGCTGGGTATCGATAATTGGCTTAGATTCACATTCTATTTTAACAACTTCTTTTGGCTTTTGAAGTCTAAGTGTCTGAAGTTCAAATTTGAGTGAATCGATCTTTTGCTGAAGTGTAGAAATTGTATTACGGTAGTTGTTTTCTTTGATTATAAAGCTTTGTTCAAGAGCACTATTCTTTTCCATAACATCTTTTTGGATATTTCGTAATTGAGCTGTTAGTTCTCTTATTTTATCATCTTTTGAACCCATCATGTTTCTAATTCTATCATTATCGTCAACCAAGAGCTGAAGAGCTTCCCTTTGCTTTTTCATTTTCTTCTTCAAAGCCGTTATTTGCTTTTGATACTCAGCATCTTGTAATAAAGATAGTTGCTTAGGTGCAGTTACTTCTGGAACAACTTGTGGTTTTGGTTCTTCTCTGTTAGAATCTAAGAAAGTTAAGAAATCTGGTAAGTTTTGGAATTCGAGTGTAAAATAATGCTTTGCGGACTCCAATATTTTTGTAATTGTCGACATTGTTAACTTTGATTCTGTTTCATTCTGTAATATTAAGTCATTTGCTTTTTGAAGTTGATCTTTTGTTAATCGAATTTCATCTTCGTATTGCTTTTTCATTGCATCAATTTTTTGAGCATATTCATTGTTAGTATTAGCTTTTGTTTCATGGCTTTGCTTTTTGAGTTCTTCGATTTGTTTTGTTAAATCTTGGTTCGCCTGAAGCAAAAGTTTAACTCTGCTAGTAGCTTCTTCTTGTTTTGATGTTTCTTGTCTAAGTTTTTGTGTCAATTCCTGATTAGCTTTCTGCAATGGTTCCATTTGGGCCGCAAGATCACATGCTTGTTGGAATTGTTGTTTAAGCAAAGTGTTTTCGCGCATCACTTCGCTAAGAGCTTCCTTCTGATCGACATCTGGCTCATCAGAAAGTGAAACAGAGTCAAACCTAAGGTCAGAGGATTCCTCCATTCTGCGTAAACGTCTTTCCTTTTTTTTGGCGCCAAAAACTTGACATAAAAATATGGGCCATACCAACCACGCCTTCAAGAAATTATCCAACATGCTAGTAATAAACATAAATTTTATCAAATGCTCCTTTTATATTCGAAGTTAATGAATTCGAAAATAATTTTAAGTCAAGCCATCTATCCTTCATTCATGGATCACTATCATATGTAGTTCATTCTTGTTCCTCAGTATTTCAAGTAATTTTCTCTTTTTTGCAAACAAATTTATCGAAATACTTGGAAAAAGTTAGATTTTAGAAACAATAGATTCTTATTATAGTAAGTTTACTCAGGCTGGAATAAATCTCGTGTATAGTAATTTCATAAACACATGAATAATAATAAAAAAAAATATTTTCATTTGTTAAAAGCATAAATATTAAATACTTTTACTGATAGATTGAATGGTTATCAGGCCATCCAATTCTGTATAGCGCCAGTAATCTGAGAGTCACGGTGAACAAGCTCAAGAACTTCACTAGAAGCAGCAATTACCTTGACCTTGAGGACTTTGTTGTAGGATGAGTCAAATGTCTTTGAATTTGAGGACTGAGCAACACCATCAAAATAGTAGGTTAGTGAGAGGGATTTGGAAGTCTTTGTAATGATGTTGACTGTGCAGGACTTCATTCCAGAAGCTTATTTGAGCTGAGCATAGCCAGTTAATTTTGACCTATCCTGGAAACCTGGTTTCCAACGATCTTCACAGTGCTTTGGTGTATTCCACTTGTTCTGGAAATACTTTGAATCCATTTCAGCAGAATTTCCTTTGCAAGAAAATGTTGAATAAGTATTGCAATTATCAAGGGTATCATATTGATTGGAGATGACAACTGGCATTGATTTGAAAACGAAGGCGCAAATCATGCCAATAATGACGCCAATTAAAATTCCACCAGCAGCAATGCCTCCAAGAAGCAGGTGTTTCTTGTTGATGGAAATATTACGAGATTTTCCTTCTCTATCTACACTCTCCATGTCTTTATGGGAGCTGAGAAGAGGATCAGCATGTATTAGAGCCATTTTAAATAATGATGTGCTTTGATATTCTTTTTATATTATATTCAAATTTGGCGATCTTATTGAAAAGTTTTCTACCGGACTCAGAAATTACATTGAAATTGGACTTGGATCATTAAGGGGAAAAATTGACTAATATGCACACAATCTTTCGATTTATATGAAGGGCCCTCTACAATTATAGATCCCATTGATTGGTTGTTAAGTAGTGAAATCTTGGTAATTTGAGCTCATCGGAATTTTGATAATTTTCGGATTCTCATATACAATAATACCATATTTATTCTTTAAATAGTATTTTTGAAAACTATTTATATCAAAAAAAAATTATAAATATATTTCTTATCAAGTCGAACTAAGGTGTATCATTATCAATGCAATTATTGTTTCTTAACAATTTTCTAATGAATTATGGAGAGCAGTTTTTATCCTTTTTTTTAATTTATTTATTTATTTATTGATGTGCTCCATATGAAATAAGAAGTTCTGCTGTTTCTTCACGATTATTTATTTCTGCAATATAAAGAGCTGTTTTTCCATCGTTATCTTTTTCATTGATATTTATACCATTTGAAATAAGAAGTTCTGCTGTTTCTTTACTATGTTTCATTGCTGCATAATGAAGAGCTGTTTTTCCATCGTCATCTTTTTCATTGATATCTGCACCATGTAAAATAAGAAGTTCTGCTGTTTCTTTACTATTTTTCATTGCTGCATAATGAAGAGCTGTTTTTCCATCGTTATCTTTTTCATTGATATTTGCACCATGTAAAATAAGAAGCTCGGCTGTTTCTTTACTATTTTTATATGCTGCATTATGAAGTGGGGTCATTCCATTTTTATCTTTTTCATTGATATTTGCACCATTTGAAATAAGAAGTTCTGCTGTTTCTTTACTATTTTTCATTGCTGCATAATGAAGAGCTGTTTTTCCATCGTTATCTTTTTCATTGATATTTGCACCATGTAAAATAAGAAGTTCTGCTGTTTCTTTACTATTTTTCATTGCTGCATAATGAAGAGCTGTTTTTCCATCGTTATCTTTTTCATTGATATTTGCACCATTTGAAATAAGAAGTTCTGCTGTTTCTTTACTATTCCTTGATGCTGCATGATGAAGAGCTGTTTTTCCATCGTTATTTTTTCATTGATATTTGCACCGTGTGAAATAAGAAGTTCGGATGTTTCTTCAACACTATTCATTGCTGCAATATGAAGTGCGGTTTCTCCATTTTTATCTTTTTCATTGATATTTGCACCACGTGAAATAAGAATTTCGACTGTTTCTTTATTTTGATACATTTCTGCTGCATCATGAAGAGCTGTTTTTCCATCGTTATCTTTTTCATTGATATTTATACCATTTGAAATGAGAACCTCTGCTGTTTCTTTACTATTCCATATTGCTGCATGATGAAGAGCTGTTTTACCATCGTTATTTTTTTCATTAATATTTGCACCCTGTGAAATAAGAAGTTCGGCTATTTCTTTACTATTATTTATTGTTGCATTATGAAGTGGAATGTTTCCATATTTATCTTTCTCATTGATATTTGCACCATGTGTAATCAGTAGTTCTGCTGTTTCTTTACTATTTTTCATTGCTGCATAATGAAGATCTGTTTTTCCATCTTTATTTTTTTCATTGATATTTGCACCATGTGAAATAAGAAGTTCGGCTATTTCTTTACTATTATTTATTGTTGCATAAAGTAGAGCTGTTTCACCATATTTATTTTTTTTTCATTGATATTTGCACCATTTGTAATTAGTAGTTCGGTTGTTTCTGTATTATTATATATTGTTGCCCAATGAAGAGGGGTGTTTCCACTTTTATCTTTTTCATTGATATTTGCACCATGTGAAAGGTAATATTCGCATAGGGATGGAATATTAAACTTCGTTGAGTTTGCAAATACTTTGTTAATATCATTAATTTGATCAGAATAAACTAAGAAAGCTTCAAGATTATTATAAACCCAGCAATAATCTAAATCGATCTCTATATTATATTCATTCATCAAGAATGTAACAAAATCAATGTTGTGTGAAATAATTGCATTTTTCATGCATCTTTCATTTGGTGTTTGATATTTCAAGCATTCACTCATGATATCTGGATTTCCTCCTAAAAATGAAAATTCTAGACATATTTTAGTGATTTCTGAGTTAAATTTTGTTCTTAATAACTTGAAACAATCAACAGATCCGTGGTAACAACATAATTCAAGTAATGAATATCCACAGGAGATAAATGGATATAAATCGCTTATAAGTTTTTGATCTTTATTAAATCCATCTATTTCTGTGAATGCAATGAATTTTTCTAAGTCATTGTACATAATCGCTCTGTAAATTGTGTTTTCTTTATGAATTTCTCTAATGTTAAATTCTATTTTTTCGAAATTAACAGTTTTGTCTAATTTAATTCCGTATTCCTTATAAAACAGGAAGCTTAAAGCCAATTTAATGTTTGGGACCTCTGTAACATTATAATCGTCAAATATATGTTTGATAAGTTCCAAGTATGACTTTGTATAGCGGTTATTGTATTCAATTATATTCAGAATATCTCCTGTAATCTTGTCAGGAGGATATTTCTTTGAATCAATCAATTCCGTCTTGATCATTTTGTAAATCGAGTTTAAATCTTCTTCTTTTTCCGTTTTTAACTGATACAAAGCATTATATGAATCGATGTAATATTTACAGATACTTCGAGTTTCCATGAATATAATTGGATGAATGTCTTGATCGGACATTAAAAAATATAAAATCAATACACTTAGAAATGTTGTCAAATTAAATATTTTTGGAATTAATTTCGACGATACTATTCGTGTAATGTCGTTTATGAACCTAATCAAATTTCATATACTAATTTAAAGCCATTTCTGCAAAAATTTGGTGTGTATATTCAGTGATCACAAATCATAAGAATATCTCAAGAAAATAAAGAGATTTAAATAAGTTAACATTTCGATTAATTTGGAATTCGTTATTGTATTATGGCATTATAGACTTATCCATGAATGGAAAGCCGTCATAACGATCATGTTTTCCAAATCATTTGTTGCTCCTCCAAAAGATCATTATTTCGTTTAATTCGGCGGAAAAACCTCTTTCAGATAACACACCTTAAAGAAAAATATTAAATTAATTCAAAAAAAGAAAATATATAATTTAAAAAAAAAAGATAAAAATCATTATTGTTCTTCTTCCACTGGTTGTTTTCTTGTTCCATTTCTTCTGAATTCTCTTTCTAATATCTTCTGGATCTTCTTCTGAGCAAAGAAATAAGGAGCAGCTTTAGGTTCATTTTCAACAATTTTCTGATATTCTCTTCTTTCTCTCCTTTCTTCCTTATCAAGTAATTCTTCGTTTTCTTCCTCTTCTTCGCTCTTTGCTGTCTGTTTGACATCTCTTTCTTCCATCCATTGTTTGAATCCGCTTTCCATCTGCGATTCCATGTCAGTAATCTCGTCTGTCATTGTCTTTTCCTTCTCCTTAAGCTCTTGGTATTTGGCAAATGCTTCTTTGTAGTTCTTCTTGACGGTTGTCAATTCTTCTCTAATTTTAAGTTCTTCTTCATCGATAACTAATACGCCATCGATTGGTGGTAATCTATTCTTCTGTTTTTCTTCAAGTTGTGCCTTCAAAGCGTCAATTTGTGCCTTATGTTGGTTGACAATTATCGCGATATCACGAACTTTCTTCTTATTCTCGGCTATCATGTCTTGGCGCTCCATAATCTCGTTATTAACAGCTTCGCCAGCTGTTGAACGGTAGATTTGCCACAATTCTTTCTCAGTTGGCAACAATGGGAAGAAGGAAATGTATTCATCTGGTGCCATTGGGTTCTCTTCCACTTGTCGCTCAACAACTTTTGTCGGCTCTGGTGGCTTGACTGTAAAAACGTACTTTTCTCTTAATTGTTCTTCAGCTGCCACTTTTTGTGATCGGAATTGGTCTTTCATAATTGAGAGGGCAGCACGGATTTCGTATAATGATCTGATGGGGAATGATTGTACGGCATCGGAAAGGAAAGAATTTACGGTTTCTGCAATAATTTGTCTTTCTTGTCTGTCAGGCTCACAGAATGACATCTGAGGGTTCTTAACTCTCAGCTGGGCACGCATATCATCTATTTCTTTCTGTAAACGGTTGATTTGGCTGTCTTTGTGCTCTTTGAGATTTAATATATCATCTGAAGTTTCTCCTTGAACGCAGGAGGAGAATTTCAGCGTAGCAAGTGTTGGAGCGAGGTTGTCGCGATCAAAGCTGCAGCAGGCAATCAAACAGCGGTTTGGTAAACTATCTTTGAGGAAATGTGTCAATGGACACGATCTGTAAGGAATATGATCATCAGCAATGAGAACACGCTCGAGGACTGTCATTGTACGGTTGATATTTGCTTGGCGGTGGAACTCATCAGAATCGCGGTTCATATCTCCAATTTTTAGAGCTGTTGCCATATCAACAAAGCTAATCTTAGAGTGTAGAGGCTTTTCTGTGTTTGGTTGTGGAACATCTGAGTCTAACCAAAGAGTAAAAACTGATGTAGTTTTAAGGTGCTCAGGATTAAGATTTCTGTATGCGTTACCTTTGAAAAGACACTCAAGACCACCTTGTTCGTCTTTGATTAAAGGAGTCAAGAGGTTTTTAACTGCAATTGATTCATCATTTAATTCTGTTATCTTCAATTCTTTAGCTGGCTGCCCATTGAATGCGTTAAGGATATCGAATAATTGTTCGTTGAGAAATTCAATGTAAGAACATCTAACTTTGACTTCTAATTCTGGAGCTGCAGCGAGTTTTGAGAATAAATACTGAATAGCTCTTGGAACTAAGCCACGGTTAGCATAGTCATTATCTGGACCATCTAACGTATATGTTTTGCCACTTTTAACGCCTCCACAGCAGATAATGCAACTTGGAGTGCCATTAAGAGCAGCATCGAGTGCTGGACGAGTTGTAAGGTTGAACATTGCTTGCTGATCTGTATTTAATAAAATGCTTTGAAAATGAAACGTATAAGAAGAAATTTGATGCTTCAAAAAAGATCTTGGATGAACTTTTAAGGATTTAACAGTAACTGACTGTCCATCTTCACCTAATTTGATATAATCTGTAGCAATTTCCTCTGTTGGACGTACGCGAATATGTACTTTACGATTCATAAGGAAATTAACGTGTTTGAGAAAACTGACAAATTTTAGTTTATTATCTGAATTGAACGAGAAACAATAGATTCAAGTCATTCTGATACATATTTATTAATGTGCGGCTTCAATAAGACCATCATAATTAAATAATTTGTACAAAATCTGAAATATTAAATCTGAAACTTGGAGATTTTCTGCTAACCATCAACGTCGACTTCACAGAGTTCCAGACAAACCTTGTCTCATACGCTGGTATCCACTTCCCAATCTGATCCTATGCTCCAGTCATTTCTGCAGAGAAGACATACCACGAGCAGCTCTCTGTTGCCGAAATCACAAACTCACTCTTCGATCCAGCCAACATGATGGTTAAGTGCGACCCACGCCACGGCAAGTACATGGTTTGCAAACTCCTTTACCGTGGTGATGTCGTTCCAAAGGATGTCTCCGCTGCTGTCGCTACAATCAAGACAAAGCGCACGCACCAATTCGTCGGCTGGTGCCTCTAACAGGCTTCAAGATGAGTATCAACTACCAGCCATCAACAGGCGTCCCAAGTGGCCATCTCGCAAAGGTACAGCGCTGCTGGGTATGGAAGAAGCTGAATTCCCAGAAGCTTGCCCTCCTCGAGAAGGACTACGACGATGTCGCTGCTGAAACAGTCGAAGATGGCAATGAGGAAGAAGATGGTGACGAAATGTAAAATCGCTAATTCCTAAAACATTATTTTTCTCATGATCTTTGATTTATGGTCAAATCTTAAAATTATTCAGATCCAATTTCATTCATATTGGATGAATAGTGCTAATTTTTGCTAAGCATATTCATGTTGCAACTAAATTTGCTTATCATAGTGCCGTGACTATCATTACCTCAAAATGATGAAATTTGATCTTGAGAATGGAGAAAATGAGGAAAAAGAAAGAAAAAATTTAAAGGAAACGAGAAAATTTAGTTCTGATCTAGCCTCCAATCATAGTAAAGCTCATATGAATAAGATGATTATGAATTCTCTATCTTTCCTACAAATTGTATCAGAATAGGGTTGTATATGACTTAGCTTATAATGGTATAAATAATTCTGTTTTTGCCCCTTATGTGATAAATTTAACTGCCGGAAAATGGAAAATTGAGTGCTGGGGTGCTAGTGGTACGGGCGGTTTTGATTACGGCCTTGGGAGCTATACTAGTGGTATTTTATCACTCGAAAGAAATTTAACCATATATGTTCATGTTGGAGCCAAAGGCTTGGAACCGCAGCCTCAAATTGTTTACGGTGGTGGTGGCCCAGGACAAACTGGAGGAGGCGGTGCCTCCGATGTGAGATTGAATTCAGGGCCATATTTTGATGAAGATGGATTGAAAAGCCGAATTATGGTGGCCGCTGGTGGTGGGGGATACGATTATAGTTCTGATGGTAATGCTATTCCAGCTGGTTCTGGCGACGGCTTGAAAGGTTTTGATGGCAATGGAAAGGGAGGAAACCAAACATCTGGAGGTGATGGTTATTATAAGGGATTTTTTGGTCTAGGAGGTGGAAATGGAGAGAGATTGAATGCTTACCGCACTCCTGATGGAAATGCAGGGGGTGGTGGGGGCTATTTTGGAGGAGGTACTTCAAATATTATTGCTGGTGGCTCAGCAGGTGGTGGAAGTTCATACATAAGCGGTTACCCAGGATGTATTTCTGTTGATAAAGATTATACTGAGAATAATCCTAAATTTTCTACTACAGAAGATCCTTCGATCCATTATTCGGGAATAAAATTTGAGAATCCAGTGATGATTGATGGGAAAAGTCCCATGCCTTCTCCGAGTCTTAATGTATCAATTCCAGAGTTTGGTCATTTAGGAAATGGCCACGTAATCATTTCCACAGCTGAAAAATATGATTATCCATATTTTTCTCAAATTACTGCAATACCTTACAAAGTTAAATGTTCAATTCCATTGAAAATTGGACGCAATTTTGATGTTTTCTTCACATTATCTATTGTGTTCTTGTCTCTCGGATAAAAATCATATCTATTCTATTATTGTGCATAATATGACTCCTATAAAGAGTTGATACCATCAACATTCTCACTGTATTCATCGATTGGAACATCATGCAATTACCAATAAGGTACTTTTTTTATGAAGGTACTCTATTCAAATTATGAAAGGAGATACCTTTCAAATTTGAGGGAGTACCTTTCAATTTGTATCGAAATGGTGACTTATTTATGAAAACTCTCAATATGGTCTCATTCAAAAATATTCAAAAATATTGAAAATATTATAGGAATGCTGCTAATATATTTAGAAATGTAAGAATTATTAAAAACAAATGAAGATTAGTTCTTGCATTGAATGTAAATATTCATACGTTGGAATACTTTTTATAGAATTTTGTTGATAACTCATTTTTTAAAAGGAAATTTAGTGAAATAAAAAAAATATGCAAAAATATTAAGTTTTAATAATAATTTTTATTAGATTTAACAATATACTTGCGTACTGGATGCTAAAAACTATTTGTTTCATTAAAAAAACTATTAAACATAAAATAATCCGAGAAAAGATTCGAGATTCAACTTACAATGCATTCAAAGCTTGAGATCTTGTTCTCATCTGTTGAGGATTCGAGTAAAGATCAGCAAGTTCGTTCAATAAGCTCTGCATGTGAGTTTGGCCGTTCTTTGACTGTTCTTTGACTCGGGATGAGATTTTCTTTTTCTGTTTCTTAACGAAATGGATAAATTCATCGCGTTTCTTCGTTGTCTTCAGCATAAGATTGTATTCGTGGGTATCAGTACGTAAAACGAAGGCTTTTTCGGCGTAATCGTTAAATATTGTTGCCTGGAAACGAATTTGTTGGATTGGGATTGCATCTACGTACAATGATTTCATTGTTCCGAAGATTCCGGATATTGTAGATGTAGAAAGAAGCAAAATATCGGTGAATACGTGAATTGAGCCTTCGTTGTTAACTTTTCCTGTTTGTTGATCCAAATATTTGGTTGAGACTTGTCCAAGCAATTTACGGCCTGGCTTCATGATGGCGAGGAATGTTGGCTTCTTTGTAACGCATTCCGCAATATTAAGTAAGGCTTCTTGATCTTTTTCGTTGATCTTTTCTTTGTTCATTGTAGCTCCAAGAGCAACAACTTTATCAAGAACGTCCTTATATATGCGATGTTCTTCTTCCATCGATTCAGGGAAATACTTAAGAATGCGCTCGTATAAGCATCTGTAGCCAGCAATGCGCTGAACTGGGAGAATGAGGAAGTCCTCGATTGATCGGCACTTGGCGCGTGGATTGAACAAGCATTGTGACATAAATTCACGAAATGCTTTATTCTTGTTGCATTTATCTAAAAGAGCTTCGCTTCCATCATTGGTTTGGAGGTATGATCTGTAGAGAGTGCTCATTCTTGGGTAGATTTCCAAAATTTTAGTAGCAAGGTAGATATATTTCTCTTTTGGTGGGAAAGGCTTTTTAAGATCTGGCAGAACTTCATCCATTGCCTTGAGAATACCATTTTCATGGGCATCGCGAATCTGATCAATGTTACCGAAGAGTGAGGTTAAAGAACCTGCATCAATTAATGGCTTTTTCGAATTTATTGACTGATTTAATGGACGGTAATAAATGTCATCAAGCGAATTGAGACCTTCCACAAAGTTCCTTTCTGTTGTAATTAATTCTAAGAAAATTGATCTTCTTTTAGAGTCTTTATTCTCTCTTTGAGCTTTTATAAGTGGAATAAGAGCTGTTTTAATAATCTTATATGCACGAGCTTCGGAAAGGAAAAGATTAAGAGGACGAACAGTAGGTTTCATAATTTTTTTGAGAAAAAAAAATTTTTTTTGAGTTGTAAAAAAAAATTCAAGTTGTATCGTTCTAAAAAAAATTACATACTTACGAAATGACGAGATTATTTAATTATATAATTGGATTATACTAAAATCCGATTTTCGATGAGAATTAATCACGAAAAATACTTTCGAATCTTAATTTTTTTGTTGATCACTATTTTGAGCTGTAATATCCCAATCATATGATAATACTATGATGTGAGAGTTAATTCTTGAGATCCTGATCAGTTTAACATAAAATAATAATGAGAATAAAACAATTTTCAACAGTTTAGTTAAAAGAATTAAAAGCAATCATACTAGGAAATTTACCCTAGCTAATATATTGATGATGTGATAACTACAGAACTTTAATTAAACAAACATTGAAATTTATTCATTCAATTTTAGGAGTTTTGCTGTTTCGATGCTATTAGAATCGGTAGCAACATCATATGCAGTTTTCCCTTGTGCATTTACCATTGATAAGTTGGCGCCATATTGAATTAGAATCTTTGTCGTATGAAAACTATTTTTCTTTGCTGAAATATGTAAAGGTGTATTTGAATTTTTATCATAAGGATTTATATTGCATCCACGAGAAGTCAAAATTGCTGCAATGTTTGATGAATCATAGATAGCTGTAATATGCAGAGGAGTTTCTTGATTGTGATTTTTTGCATTGATTTCTGCAGCATTATCCAGTAAAATTTCTGCAATTTTTGGGTTATTTTGTTTCGCAGCATAATGGAGAGCTGTCCATCCTGCTTTATCAGTATTATTTACATTAGCACCTGCATCAATTAATAATCTTAAAATTCTTTCATACCCTTTATGAGATGCTCGATGAATAGGCAATTCTCCTCTTGAATTCGGAATATTCGGATCTGCACCATTTCTGAGGATGAAATCTGCAAAATCACAGTTATTATATAATGCTGCCAAGTTAATAGGTGTCTCTTTGCTTTTAGTTAATTGATTAACATCTACACCTCTACTAATAAGAATTTTCGAAAAATCTAAATAATCATTGATTGCTGCATAATGAATTGCAGAATAGCCTTCATCATCTATTTGATTTACATTGCATCCATGATTTAAAAGCAATAATGCAATTTCTTGTGATTTGCTTTTTACAGCTTCTGGAAAAGGATTTTTGAGATTTACATCAGTTCCATTTTCGATGAAAAATTTAGCAATTTTGAAATTTCTCTTTCTTATTGCAATGACTAATGGAGTAGTGCAATCATATTGATCAATAAAATTATTTACATCTGCACCATTATCAAGTAAAACCTTTGCTGCTGGAATGTTGTCATTTTCAGCCGCAATATCAAGTGGTGTATGGTTTCTATATAAGCAAGTTTTTAAATCAGCACCTTTGTTAATTAGTAATTGTAGAATTTCAGGAGTACTATAAGTAATTGCTAGCATAATTGGTGTTATAAAAAACTTACTTTCATAATTAACTTTAGTTCCTTTATCAAGTAGTAATTTTGTTATTTTATATGAGCTGCTCATTATTGCTTCAAACAGTGGTGTTTGCTTCGTATCATTTGTTAATTCAATATCAATATTGTTATCAACAAGAATGTTTGCAATTTCTAATAAATTATTTTTAGCTGCATAATGAAGAGCTGTATTTCCAGCTATATCTTTTGCATTAATATCTGTTTTGCAATTAAATAAATGATTAAATAAATTTGTTAAGCAAAAGTTTGGGCACAATGCAAATAAAGTATTCATATCTTTTTCAGAATCATAACTAACAAAAAATAATTCCAAATTTTTCGAAATTGCACAAATGAAAGGATCGATTTTCATATTGAAATTCTTCATTAAATGTATTGCAAGATCATTATTATGGAGTAAAATGGCGTTCTTCATACATAAATTATCGGGAATCAATGAATTATCAATGCATTCTTCGATAATTGACGAATTTCCTCCACAATATGCAAGTTGAAGACAATATTGTGTGATTGGAAATGAATATTGTGTTCTCATGAACGTAAAGCAGTTCTTTGCACCATAGAAGCATGATAATTCAAGAAGATTAGAATTCTTAAAGGAAAAACAATGAATATTGATATTAATTCGAAATGAAAATTCATATTTGGAAAGATCGTTTGAATTTGACCATTCCCTGAATGATTCGATATCATCATCTATTATGAATTGTGCAACATTGCCATTAGTGTTTATATTTAATTTTTCTTCAAGATATGAAAAATTATTAAATGCATTTTCGAATTCATCATGAAGACTGAATAAATATTGTCCTATTAAAGTTGAATTGTCGTAATCATGTTTCTTTATCGTGTATTTTGAAAATACAAGTTTCATTAGTTGCCAATATGATTTTGCACAATTGAATCTACATGAACATGCAATACCAATGTCATATACAATAGTTTCAAATGGAACATGGTATTTTTCTATCAAAATTGATTGAATTGCATTAAAAATCTTTTCTAATTCATACGAATCATTGGTTGATAACCTGTATATCATGTCATATGTATCAATGTAGTCTTTATACTCCGATATGAGTTCCCCAAACTCTTTAAGTATGAATTGATTAATTGACATTCAAGGAAAATGATTTCAATTATTACTTGTTTGTGCACTATTAGATATGATAAGTAGTATTTGATTTTATAAATTATGTAAAAGAAAATAAAGAATTGTAGAACTAGCAATGAATGTTATAAAGATTAATAAATATATACATCAGATAAAGAAAATCAATGTTGAAGCATAAATAATGGTTCAATCGAAGCAAAATATAGGATATGATATAAAAATTTGTTAACACCTTTCCCAAGTTCATGGCAGAAACCTCCTGATTTCATACATGAAATTAATACACTTCATTAAAGAAAATTATTTTTCTTTGAACGATCAATACTATAATATCTGCTCTTCAATTGATGATCCTGTATGGATACATATAAAAGGAGATATCCTGTAATAAACAGAAATTCATCAAAAGTGACAGCTCTCAATTTTTTTGACATTTGTAAATTCTAAATTGAATGAGAAAAATGAAATAATACTAAGCATAATACAATATTCTAGATTTAATTATAATTAGGAAAAGTTAGTTTTGAGAGTACTTTTCATAGGCATATAGAATGAAATCTTCTGAAAAATAATATCACATAAACTCATATTATTTTCTAATATATAACTATTTTATATAAAAATCAAATTCAATGATCTTAAAAGCGAAGGATAAACCTCAAAATTTACGAATATAATGAGTGGGAATATAATGCTTATCTATCATAAAACCATATGAAATATCAATTTTTGCTTTACGCCTAATTTTTGACGACAATTAGCAAAAAATGTCAAATGTTAACACTCAGTCCATTTGAATATGAAAAATAAAATTGACTTTGATTAAATGTTTTTATTTATCATGCAATTCTTCTTGCGACCAAAGATTTGAATAAAATTTCAAAAAATAAGATAGCTTAAAAAATAATATACGGTAGTGTTTACTAATAGATGAATAGTATATAAATTCTATTAAAATGGATTTGATCCAAAAAAATATAAAACCAAAAATAATTGTTATACCCAGATTTGCCTTACTTTTACCACCTCTCTAAAGCTGGGGACACCGCCTATCGTTGGGAGTAGTTATTAAATAGAACCACCAAGGGTATTTTTCGAACTGCCGGTGTAGTGGAAACATCCGACATAATGATTCATTATGCCAAGGTTTGATTCCTACTTAGCCAATTTTTTTCTTTTTTGGATCATGAATTTTTTTTTGGGTCACTATAAGATTTGTTTCATGTTCTAAATCTGCTGCATATGTAATCTATTTTTATTTACCTATTTTTTAAAAATCTATTGGATTGCCAAATTTGAATATATTTAAAATCATAAAAATCCAAAAAAACTATAAATATATGTTTTATGCATAGTGCCGATACTCAAATATCAGATTACTTAGATCCATGAATAATATCCGAATTTTTTTTCTTAAAATTAAACTTCAAAACTTCTTGCAATCTTATTCTTAATCAATTGTAAATTTTTAAAACCATTTTTTAAAATAATTTTGCGTAAATTTTATTCTCATGTTGTTTTAATCGAAAATTGATACATTTTCAAAAAAATAATATTGACTTATGAAATTCATTTTTAAGGTGAAATAGTATTGTTTTTATTAAAGTATATGAATAATATATAAAAAATTAATGAATAATATAAGCAGATTTTTAGTTTACAAAACAAATATGAGCAATGCAATTTCAAACTTTTGCTGGCAATTTCGATATTGCTCAAGTTTGTAGTATTTGTGATACCTATAACATTGGCTTAATCAAAATTCGATTTTTCTTATGAGTTATTGAGAAAATTTGATTGCAATGAGAAGGATTTCGATGTTTTTGATAAACTAAGAGCTGAGCTTTAGGGGTTCAGTTCATTTATGGCTGTAGTTTGATGCGTAGATCTCTTTTTTATTGTAAATTCTTTCAGCATGGAGATCGAGAATGAATCTTTTGAGAACTTTATGAGTTTTTACACCCGTAAAGAGGTCCTTCGAGGAAAGATAGTCCAGACTACATGAAGATGTGGGTTAACCAAAAAAATCGATGGTTTCCCCATATTCATGTAGATCTTCGAAAAAAGAGCACCAAAAAAGCCAAAAAAATAGGCTTTTTATTGGATTTGTACACTAGATCAATAATCTATTTAGGATCTGACACTCTTTTTAGCCAGAGATATGAGGTCCTTTCTAGGAAAACGATCTATTCATCCATAAAAAAATGAATTATCTTTTTCCCCAGAAATTACATGGGGAGTGGTAAAAGTAAGGAAAATCTGGGTAATTTAAATGAAGAAGTAATTTAAAACGATTTTATTTATGATCAAATTTTATATATTTTTTTGGATCAAATCCATTTTAATAGAATTTATATACTATTCATCTATTAGTAAACACTACCGTATATTATTTTTTAAGCTATCTTATTTTTTGAAATTTTATTCAAATCTTTGGTCGCAAGAAGAATTGCATGATAAATAAAAACATTTAATCAAAGTCAATTTTATTTTTCATATTCAAATGGACTGAGTGTTAACATTTGACATTTTTTGCTAATTGTCGTCAAAAATTAGGCGTAAAGCAAAAATTGATATTTCATATGGTTTTATGATAGATAAGCATTATATTCCCACTCATTATATTCGTAAATTTTGAGGTTTATCCTTCGCTTTTAAGATCATTGAATTTGATTTTTATATAAAATAGTTATATATTAGAAAATAATATGAGTTTATGTGATATTATTTTTCAGAAGATTTTGTGTTCATCTTCAAAATTTTATTTTTTTTATTAAAAAGAATCTTTACAAAATATACATTTACTTTAATTAATATTTAAAAACGTGCTCTATCAAAAGTTCCAAAAATTCAATATTTTAGCTTTTCTGAGGTGTCACTTTTGATGGATTTCTGTTTACAACAATCCAAAATTGTAAATTCACCTCTTATATAATTTCACTCAAATCTTATTAAAAATCACTAATTTTAGGTGTAAACTCCCTAAATGTATATGAAAAACCAGTAGTTTCATATAAAAATAAATAATTGGCGCGGTTCAATTTTAACGACATTTTTTAACGCGATACGAGCGTAAGTTCATAGAATGTGTTTTGAGGGAAACTATAAAAATCCAAAATAGAGGTAAGTGCGCCATTATTACCTGCGAAGTTACATGGAATAAATCGAAGAGTAAGTACAAGATGATCTTGCATCTTTCCAAGTAGATGAAATTTATTAAAATTAAGATGATAATATTCATTTATAGTATGTGTATGATGTGTTTTCAAAATTTCTTCAAATCAAATGCAATGATAATTTTTGAATAATTTTTTCTTGTGTATATTTCATTTTTTATTAGTGAAAATATCATTACATCAATAAGGAAAGCACAATCCAAATTCATATTAGTTAAATTAATCTACGACCAAAAGCCCGCCAAATTTGAATTAAACCTCCAATTTAAAATTTTCAAGTCTACGGAACCATCCTTGGATCATAGTAATCATTCATTACAAAATGGAATCTTTTGGTATTGTGCGGGCGATACCATAGATTTCTTTTTATTGATAATGCTATTGAACAAGCTCATTCCGTGGATTTTCATTTAGAACTTTGTTTCATGAGTTTCTGGAACAAGATAACATCTGAAACCTTTTGTGCGGGCAAAAGAAGGGATGTTTGTTGATTGAAAAATGCTCATTTAAAAGAAGTTCTGAAAAGAAATTTGGAGATGATTTGTGGGTTGTGTAAGGTGTAGGTGTTGTGATATATTTGGAATGGAATGATCCTTACCTAAGTCATTGACTCATCCTTACCTCAGACATATACTCATCCTTAGCTCAGACAAAAAGTCATCCTTACCTCAGTCATTGACTCATCCTTACCTCAGTCATTGACTCATCCTTACCTCAGTCATTGACTCATTCTTACCTCAGTTATTGACTCATCCTTACCTCAGTCATTGACTCATCCTTACCTCAGACAAAAAGTCATCCTTACCTCAGTCATTGACTCATCCTTACCTCAGTCATTGACTCATCCTTACCTCAGACAAAAAGTCATCCTTACCTCAGTCATTGACTCATCCTTACCTCAGACAACAACTCATCCTTACCTCAGTCATTGACTCATCCTTACCTCAGTCATTGACTTATCCTTACCTCAGACAACAACTCATCCTTATCTCAGTCATTGACTCATCCTTATCTCAGTCATTGACTCATCCTTACCTCAGACAAAAAGTCATCCTTACCTCAGTCATAGACTCATCCTTACCTCAGTCATTGACTCATCCTTACCTCAGTCATTGACTCATCCTTACCTCAGTTATTGACTCATCCTTACCTCAGTTATTGACTCATCCTTACCTCAGTCATTGACTCATTCTTACCTCAGTCATTGACTCATCCTTACCTCAGACAAAAAGTCATCCTTATCTCAGTCATTGACTTATCCTTACCTCAGTCATTGACTCATCCTTACCTCAGTCATTGACTCATCCTTACCTCAGTCATTGACTCATCCTTACCTCAGACAACAACTCATCCTTACCTCAGTCATTGACTCATCCTTACCTCAGACAAATAGTCATCCTTACCTCAGTCATTGACTCATCCTTACCTCAGTCATTGACTCATCCTTACCTCAGTCATTGACTCATTCTTACCTCAGTTATTGACTCATCCTTACCTCAGTCATTGACTCATCCTTACCTCAGTCATTGACTCATCCTTACCTCAGTCATAGACTCATCCTTACCTCAGACAACAACTCATCCTTACCTCAGTCATAGACTCATCCTTACCTCAGTCATTGACTCATCCTTACCTCAGACAACAACTCATCCTTACCTCAGACAACAACTCATCCTTACCTCAGTCATTGACTCATCCTTACCTCAGACAACAACTCATCCTTACCTCAGACAACAACTCATCCTTACCTCAGTCATTGACTCATCCTTACCTCAGTCATTGACTCATCCTTACCTCAGTCATTGACTCATCCTTACCTCAGTCATTGAC